TATTTTTCACATGTCCTAGAAAGTCCACTCTAAATTTTAAATTAAAATAACTCACTTGTCGTATGTTTTTTATCGACAAACTAAAAATATTAAATAATTGACACGATACTTTACATTTATTTTTGTTATCGTGACTTTAAGTGTAATGTAAAAATAATAAATTAATGAAAAATAGTAGAAAAGAACAATAACTCGTAAGAAATGTTGAGGACATTAACAAATAATAGTAATTATTTTAACTTAAATTATTTGTAATAGAAACTTTTGATTTTAGTAAATTTGATTATTTTTATATGTCAAAATTCAAGATTGAAGATTCACTTTAACTTTTTTAGAATGTTAATTTGAGACATGTTGATGTTGTTTAAAATGATTATGTTAAAAATACTCAAAATAATATTTCATTTCTAAGAGACAAGAGTTATACAAAGAGTTATAAAGTTGACATAAATGTAACACACGAAAACATTGTAAAAATAATAACATATAGGTTATATATTAATGTTACATTGAAGTACTAATCAAAACATGGTAACACGAAAATTTTAACATACAGACGCACAATTTTTTATTGTGTAAAGTTGTTTTATTTCAACTTAGATAAATTCTGTAATTAATTAAACATAATAGTCCTATCAGCCGAATAATATCTAATAAACAAATCGTAAAGAGTGAACCGTTATACGAGCAGCAAGATGGAGACTTATATCAGCCTAAATTAGTCTTACGTAGTAAGGTGTATCCAGATGTAAGAAACATGTTGGCCCACGGTTAATGGTTCTCGACCGTTTCCGTCGAGGTATCTGTAAATTCTATAAGTTACATATTGCGGGAGAAGTTTGTTGTAATCTACCAACTTGGAAACTCAAATGTCTTTGTATAGCCGTGCTAGGGGCATCGCTGAGCAGGAGAGTGCGCGTTGCTTCAAAGTATAGTGAAATAACTTTCGCGAGTCCGTAAAGTTTCCCTACCGGTCGAAAATTATTTCCAAGAGCTCTCGAGCTTCTCGAAGTAATGTCTCGTCGACTAACTATGACGTTTGCATTTTCATGTCGAAGGGTAATTCTCCAATTATGACCATTGATTCGTGTACAACTCATTCCACTTTCACAAGATGCGAGCAAATCATACGGCCAACTTTTGGAAATGATAAATAAAACAAGACTAGCGTCTCCCGTATAAAATAAACATGGAATTTGCTTCCAATAATATTCAATTGTACTCGTGTAAAGCCTTGTGTCTTTAATAAAAAGACTTCTCTAATGTTTTCGCTGGATCGTGCAAGATTAAATAATCCGCGTACTTGAGAGCTCTTGCCAAATAACACTCGATCCCAATTTAAGCCATGGCGCCGTGGCGGCGTTAGGGATAATGGTGAGAAATCTCTCTCTACTATTTTTCGTTTGACATAACGCCGACCGCACGATTCCAGCATAGGAATCGCGTCACGTAACAATTCCGATTCCCCTGACGACGTAGCGAGAAAGCGAACGGGAACTAACACGGAGCAGTTCGTAACTCCTTGGAACTCGTTGGAACTGGTAACATCTTTGCTACTTCTCGAGTGACAACGGTTTGGAATGGTATAAAGCGACGTTCCTGTCGCAATACGCATCTCCCGACACACATATTCTACAGTCTGAAGCTTTGATCTTTCCACCTATCGCGATGCCATCGGGTATCGGGCAAAGGGAAGGGCAAGAGGAAGGGGGAGGGAAGGGTTTCCTCTACCCAATGACGGACGTTCGAACATCCTTTCGCTACTTTTGACGCAAGTGACTTTGACTTTGTTGGCCGAGTTCGCGTCTGAAACGCCGAGGGAGGGAAAGATGGCGCGTAAAGGAATCGTATTCCTTCGCTCGTGAAATCAAATTCTCTTGGCAACATTGCCGTTTCGCGAGCGACGTTAATAATTATTCGTCGCGTTGCAAAATCGCCGTCGAATAACAAATGAAATCACTGATAAAAGCGCGCGTCGAATCGGAGAGCGCGCGATATAGAATTTTATCCTTTGTTTAGAGAGCGCGCCAACGATTAATGCAATATCGATGTATCAATATCGAAATGCTCGTTAATCCATCGCCAACGATAATTTTTGACCTAATTGCCCGATCATCTTCGACGAGCTCGAAATTTGATATTCACGCACCCGGATAATATTGGCAGCTAGCTGTGCCAAGTTTTCGCATTATTCCTGTTATATATGCACACATATACATACATACATATATATATATATATATATATATATATATATATATATATAGATACAAGTGCGTGCGTATATATTAAGAGGATAATTTAAATAAACGTACTCGTGCGCGCTCAATGTTACAAGCGCTTTAGTGCCGCGCGGCGATAATTATTACGCGTTTCTCCGGTGTTCATTTAATATTTCAAGCACGCCGTAAACAAAAGTGTCGGATTTTCCGATATGGCGGTTGTATTGACCGGACGCGAAACGAGCGGCTAACGTTTTCCCGATCGCGCGCGTGTGCGTGCGTTTATACGCGTTAATAATCCCAATAAAACGTACAACACCGATCCGGACGTTCGATTATGAGTGTACGTATCGGCGCTCGGCGTGCATTTTGCACACACATTATGTTCTCATTATTAAAACACATTAGCAGCGTTGAGCGCGATCCGACATATATACAACGGAATGAACGTAACACCGATAGGGTTGATAGATCACGCGTTTCCCTGACGCCGTCGATGAGCCGGGCGCGGGCGGGGGCGGGGGGCGAAAGCGCGGGCGGGGGTGCGAGCGCGAGCGCGCACGGCTATTTCATTTTCCATCTCAGTGGATTTGCCGGGGCTAATCGATAATCGCACCACAGACACGCCCGACGCTCGCCGTTCACCGCTCGCTGCGATAACAGCCAAGCGAACCAAGAACCAGCTTCGTCCTTTGGAGCCATTCCGCAACGTTATCGACAGTGGATAGCCTCGATCATGCGCGTCCAATGTCATTTTCACCTGTGCCAATTAAATTTGAATCACGTGCAAAAATGATAAAAAACGTTTTGAGAAAGCGTAGGTCGAAAGGGAAAATACATCCAGTCGCCTTTTATGACTTTCACGAGACATTTCTATTTTCTGACGACACGTTTGATTTATATATATCTACTTAATTTATTATTATTTCAAGCTATTTTCTTTTTTTTTTGTCGTCGCGTTATTAAATTATTTTCGACAAATTTATCCGTCAAACTTGTTTTACTCGCCATCGACTATTAAAGCGTACAAAGTGTACCGTCGGCTGGTTACATCCGGTTGCTGGGAACAGTCGATTGTGCGTCCATGTATTGCCTGATCGAATCCCGGCTTCTTTCATGTCGGTCAATAGAGCGTCGTGTCTGCCGCAAATTGCTCCGGAACTAAACCGAAGCAATTAGCAGCGTCTGCGTATGCGCGTTATATCGAATTGGCACGCAACGACAGCGTTATACAGGATCTTCCCATTCATCTCGCGAATGCGCCAGAGAGCGCGAGCGAGAAGCTAATTAAAATTATATCGTCGCGCATCGCGCATCGCGCTCGTCCCAAAAACGGGGTCAAAGACCGCTCCTATTCCAGGTGACGGCCTTAACGAAAGAAATTTATTGAGACGAATGGAACGGCGCAAACAAAACCGTGAAAATTACGAGGATACGTCGTTAACGGGGCGTCGTAAAAGCGTTGCACCGAAATTACTACTTTTGCGCCGGAAAATTAAGGAACCCATTTTAATGGTCAATATAATACCCGACATAATTGCCGATCCACGTGTAACGAAATCGTTGAATATAGTTCTGAAATCTTGGCGAGCAAGAATTGATTATCAATTAGTACAAGTTATTTTTTTATATCCTGTTAAAAAGAATTATTTACTTCATCAATATTATATATGTTACCCAATAAAAAAATAACATTCTTTTCGAAAACAAGAACAAGAATAGGGTATCACTTTTTTTAACTAAATATGATTTTGGTTTTCTAAATTGCTTCTTATCGTGTCATTTTGCGTTAAAATTGTAAAAAAGGGGCAAATTTAATGCATTTTTTGTCATATTGTAGTTACGATATTGTAGTTACGATAAAAAAGTTTTATTGCAATCTAAATGAAATAAATATGGTTATGAAAACTTTCAGCTGTTAAAAAGACTTTATTATGTCGACTATGATTAATAAGAGAGAAATATTTACAGTTAAATATAAAATCTCTCTCTTTTGCGGAAAAATTGCGAATTAGGTCACAGTTTATCAAATAATCTTCAATTTATTTAAACTTGAAAATATTCAAGTCGTTGAATATGAAAGTATAATGTCAAAAGTAATAAATTTAAAGTGTGTGTATAAATTTTGGAAAAAATGCAAACCCTTCTCAATTTCAGCAGATTCTCCAAAATATATGTCACATATCATAATTATATAATACAACAAAATATTAAAATAACTTTTTTTGTACTTTCGTAAATTCCTCAAGTGGAACGTTGTGACGTGATTTAAAAATCGGAATCGTATATATTCAGCATCAAAAAATAGAAAGTAATTCATTAATCTTGTCTCTTTCAAAAGTTATGTTTTTGTTGAATTATGTTACATTTTTTGTTCTCCAAGTTAGAATAAACGATGAAATCATTTGTTTTAATTTGAAAGAATTACACGTAAAATGAATAAAAAATACATCAGATGCACAATGCTTCAAAATTTTTGATATCTTCTGAAACAATTGCCGATTATTCTATTCGAATGCAGAGAAAATGCACATCTATCTATTTTTTGCTTCTTTATTTGTAACTGTTATGTCGGTATATAGCAGGTTACATTCACTGGGCGTTCTTCCTGTTTTTATTAAGCGATCGATCGACCTTACGGGGAACTTTCGATCGTAACGGATAATGTCAACGTTGAAGTTTTGCGGTTTTGTTTGGCAGTATGCTATTGCTATGGCAACTTTACAAATCGTTTATGCGCGCGCGCATTTTCTTTTCTTTTTACACACCTGCCATCTTCCAAGTCTAATAAAAAAAAAACTCTATTCGCGCTGTTAACAGAAGGTGTGCAATATATTTCTATAACGATAGTTCGTTGCAAGCGAATTGGTAAGCCAATTAATTAGTCTGATACGTAACAGTTGCAAGTATCATCGATTTGTATCAATCAATCGAGTTTGTCGAGGGTTACAGGTAAGGGTCACATCTGAAAGCCATTTAACGATGCACTAATTAACGGAATTACTGCATCAAACATAATTAGAACGACGTGATCATCTGTGTACTCATAAAATATGGTTATTCATATTATTCACGCATTACAAATAAAATCTTTGCTCTCCATTAGTGTTTAATTTAATACCTTAACTTAATAAAGAACGTAGATATGACAAACTTGCTCTCATCTGAAGAAAAATGCTATTCAATAGCTTAAACGATATCATATTTTATATATTTAGTTTTATATATTTAGCGTTATTTTAATAATTTATTAATCTGACTAGCTCTCTTTCTCTCTCTCTTTCTATTCTTCTTTCGATACCAATCATAGACTTATTTTCTTCTTGTTTATGATACTACTTTTCTTTGCAAAATTATATTTATTGAGAGTCATTATAGAGATTGGATCAATAATAGATTCTAGATTTACTCAAGTCTACGAGAAAAGCAATCTCCTATAAATATAAATTGTGAATTTATATTTATTGAAGATTGTTGTTCTCGCAGACATAAATAGGTTTAAAATCTATTATTAATCTTAACCAATCTCTAATGATGCTCAATAAATATAATTTTGCAAAGAAAAATATTATCATAAGCAAGAAGAAAATAAGTCTATAATTAATATCGAAAAAAGAGCAGCAAAAGAAAAAGAGAGAGAGAACGAAAACAAGATTAATAATAAAATGTTAAAATGTTAAAATGATAAGATTTTGAGTATATAAAGTAATGTTGTTTTATAAAATTATTTCCTTACAAATTTTTACTGCTTTTAGATATTTAAAGTTTTGTCATCTTTATCGCTACTTATATGAATTTCAATAATTTTTATTTAGAATTTAGATTATAAATTATAATAATTTAAATTCAAAATTTTATCGTTAGTTAGAGAATTGTAATATACAAATTTCATTTATATAGTAACGATAAAACGAGCGAAGCGAAGGTAAAGGAGCACGCGGAAAATCAGAAGAGGAATAACAAAAACTGATACTTTAGTGAGAAGCAAGGAAGCGACGAGATGCCGATTGATTGTTATTACTTGCCACCAAGTCCACCCTGTCGTACCGTTATGCTACTCGCAAAGGCTTTGGGCATCCATTTTAACATTAAAATCATAAATGTCTCGAACGGAGAGCATATGAATCCGGAATTTTTACAGGTTTTTTAATTTTGCTCTTGTCCTCGCGTGTAAATTTATTAATTATTAGTACAAAATAAGTAAGATTCTCAAATCTCACGCATAATCGATAATTTATAAATAGATATTTACAACAAAGTTATAAACCTTCTAAAATATAATTTTGTTTTAGATAAATCCGCAGCATGTGATACCAACCATCGACGACAACGGCTTTATTTTGTGGGAAAGGTATGTAAAATTCACGTTTTTCTTTCTTATGATTATCTAACAGATATATTGTTACAGTCGTCCTATTATGGCATATTTGGTTAACAAATATGCGAAAAATGATTCTCTCTATCCGAAAGATCCAAAACAAAAGGCAATAGTAGATCAGATGATGTACTTTGACGCTGGTAGTCTCTATTTTAATCTTATCAAATGTTACGTATGTATTCATCTATCGATTGCAATTTTTTTCTCTAATTAATATTATAATGAACATATTTTTCACATTTATTAATCACATTGATTATCTTATACATTTATATATCTCTCAGTCATAAATTTTGATGCAAATTTTTTCCTGTCTCTGTTAATTTACACCTACTGCATTAATCTAATTTTTCTTAATTGAAGAAACATTCTATTTCTGGAATACCCTTTTATATCATTATGCATTGAAATAATTATTCTTCTTAATATTGTAATATTTCTGTCGACGTTTGATTCAATAAACGAAATTATTATTATCAAGATGCCAGTGGTGCGAGGTCTTTCTTCTTCCGTTAACGAAGCAAATCTAGAAAAAGTGAAGAAATCATTCGAGGTGCTCAATTCTCTTCTCGAGGGTAAAGAATTTGCGGCCGGCGATAACTTGACTATCGCCGATTTCACTATCAGTACAACAATATGTACGACACTGGTGAGTCCTTTTGCGAAAAATGACTTTATCGAATTCGTATGTAGATTGAATGCTGTGATGTATTTTTTCGATTGTAGTGTTTCGACTTCGACATTAGCCCTTATGATAACATCGTCGCCTATTATGATCGTTGCAAGGAAAGCTTGGAGAAATTCGGATTCGAGGAGGTGCACGCCATGGGTGTTAAAGTGTTTACCGAGATGTATCACGCGAATTTGCAAGAATCTAGTTAACGTGGATATGGCTATGGATATTTTTGCGCGCTTAAAGTAGAGGATCGATAATACCTCGTTTACCTGAGATCGAGATTAGACATGAAATCTCATTGTTACCCTTATAGAATTTAAATTCACTTTTTACCTCCGTTGTTTCTAGCATTACAGCTTTTTAAATCAAATAATTCGAGTATTTTGAAAAGATTGTTCTTACTATACGCGTACATATGTATAGCTTAAATTTTTTTTGTATTTATAAGACGATTTGTTATATTTTTTAAATGTTTATGATTTATTTCTCTGTACACGCGGCACAATAAAAAGTATAAACTACAATAAAAACTAATAAATATAATATATAATAAATATATAATAACTTAATAAATACAAATTTTTGTGGAATCATATAAGTTAATTTTCCATAAATTTCACGTATATGCATATATATATTAACCCCTTATTTACAATCTAGATCGTTAACGATTAGGATACAAAAATTCAGTTTCAAATTATTCTGAAATGAAGAGAGATTTATTATAGATATATACAGCACTTCAAACATTAGAGCTTCATAATTATTTCTGTGACGCGTTTATGGTAAAATTTATAAAGCTAACAAGACTCAATATTCATGTAATAAACGTTGAAGGAATATAAGATTAGCAATAACGTCAGTGAAGAATTGCATAAAATTCTAATGTTCCGCGCTTTGTCATCATTATCACTTCATTTTCTTAATTATAACGTGACATCTAATCACTGAATAAATACTGAGGCTGTACGAAATTATTCTTTCCTTACGAACGTTAGCAAATCAAATAAAAATTGTTGAAATAAAACAAATACTTAACGTGGCAAGTACATTATTTTCAAGAAAAATCTGATATTTTTGATTATTTTATTTTTATACCATATCTCTAGCATTTGCACACACTTGTCAAATCCATCATTTTATCCAACAATAATATAATTGCAAGATAAGACAATAAGAAACATTTGTATGAATGCGTCTTGTTTCTGAACAAATATATTTGTCGTGCGCTATTCGATAGGCATTTACTTATCTCCATCCCGACATTGCCTTGTACTCTTGTTGCTCTACACGATACGTATATGTATCGACCGTTCATTGCTACACTACTGCACGCATTATGCAACAATCGACACATTCCGATCAACATGTTCCATAATGACGAGGCATTTTTATAGCCACAGAATCTAGCCTGTCCGAAGGTAGTAAGAAATTCCTTTATTGGTTACTGGATATGTTAAACCGGTTTTATTTTTCTTTACTAAGTGAGAATTTTAAATACATATATTTATATTTGATTAAAATGAGATTTATATCTCATCAAAGATTTTTATAAATTTAATTTGTTGATACATTATTATATTAATATTGTATTTTTAAAACATAATTACTACTTGTGAAAAATAGCGTTCTAAATATATATGTACAATCAAGGACAAACGAAGGAATCAATAAGAGTTGAACTACAAATAACGATGTGCGATTTGCATGTAAATCATTTCATCCTTGTTTACATTCAGCAACCAACAAGAATGAAGTGATACACTGTGTCCTCTGTGTCGCTTGCTGAAAAACAATGTCATCACATATATATCACATAATATATATAATTATTTATAAATATTTTATTAAATATATATATTAAATATATGTTAAATATATATTATATATATTATGTTAAATATATTATATATATATATATATATATATATATATATAATATTAATTATTAATTATTAATGTTGAGCAAATTAATAATTTTGAAATTAATAATTGTTATTCCGAAAATATAATAAAGTGTGTCACGTGCAATTAACGAAAGTGCCGTGTAATGTATCGCGCGATTATCATATTCTAATGATTAACGCAATAATATTAATTATATGAAGGAGCATCAAAAAAGGAGGAAGAGCAGAAAAAGAGGCCACGGCGAAGCAACCATGTGGTAAGTAATTTATTTAATTTATTTTTAAAAGTAATTATTCGTTTACTTCTTCACAATAGTAATTTATTTTGATAATTATTTACATTAACAGACACCTCGCTGATGACCTTATCTTTGCATATGTTGTAGCGGAGGATGCTGATTAATTTTACATAATATATATTTAATATAATATATATATATATATATATATATATATATATAATTATATGAAGGAACATCAAAAAAGGAGGAAGAGCAGAAAAAGACATGGAGGCCACGGCGAAGCAACTATGTGGTAAGTAATTTATTTAATTTATTTTTAAAAGTAATTATTCATTTACTTCTTCACAATAGTAATTTATTTTGGTAATTATTTACATTAACAGACATCTCGTTGATGACCTTATCTTTGCATATGTTGTAGCGGAGGATGCTGATTAATTTTACATAATATATATTTAATATAATATATATATATATATATATATAATATATATATATATATATATATATATATATGTAATGTCTTTTTCTGCTCTTCCTCCTTTTTTGATGCTCCTTCATATAATTAATATTATTGCGTTAATCAATAGAATATGATAATCGCGCGATACATTACACGGCACTTCCGTTAATTGCACGTGACACACTTTATTATATTTTCGGAATAACAATTATTAATTTCAAAATTATTAATTTGCTCAACATTAATAATTAATAATTAATATTTAATAATTAAACACAATATACAAATGTAAAATGATGTTAGCGATTTTATTCTAATATTATGTGATGCACAAACACTGTGACTTAATTAATTACTAAATCAAAATGCGTTAGATTATTCGAAAATATATAATCGAAATTCGATACAGATAATATACTTCGTATAAATAAATCGCGTAAAATGAAAAGATATTATTATATAAATATCATATAAATAATATATCAACACACGACTTTCCATTACTTGAATTATTTAATGCATTATTTCTCTCTCTCTCTCTCTCTCTCTCTCTCTCTCTCTCTCTCTCTCTCTCTCGTAAGTCTTTATATAATTACATATTTTTAAAATGAAAAGTTTTTAAATAGGAATGCCAAATGTCCAATTCAAAGATTAAATAAATATTTATCACTAAATTCAGAATAAAATGATTTGACAATAATTTGTGACTGTAATTTTCTATATCGGATATTAGTATATAGTATTTATAAATAGGATTTTATAAGTCACGTAAACTGATGATCTCTAATCATACAAATTTTAAGAACCGATCGCACTTGGCATCTGTTATAATATAATAGTACTTCTCGTATTTAGAGAAACGATATACGTAGCGAGATTATTACCTTTCTGTTCAAAAATCACCGCGCGAATTACAAGGCCACATTAAGTCTCGCACAAATATAAAATATAAATAAAATATAATAATAGGCCATAAAGAGCCAACGCGCGCGCGCGCAGTTGTAAGGCGTGTTTTTGAAGAAAAAAATAATCCATGAAAACGGTCACATTAAACGATCTTTCTTCTTTATTGACATCAAACGTTTCGGACTCAGTTCGAGCCTTCTTCAGTGATTCTGACAAGACAAAAAAGAACCAAGTAAGATAACATTAAAAACGCAGTCATTAATAGATAAAAGAGAAAAAATGTAATTATCATACGTGCATAGTCTTAGAGAGCGAACGTGAACTCGTCAAGGCAAATCGACTCGAAGGAAATCAAATGCAAGTAGCCCTTTAAGCGGTGCAAGGCGCAAAGAGTGATGCACTAACAAAATAAATGTATACAATCTAGAAACAAAGCCTTGCAATAAAAAATTAAAATTAGACAAAGGCAACTCACTCGGACTCGAGAAGACGAAACAGAAACGGACACGAATACTCAGCACGCACATAGCCGACTAAGCAAAAAGATTCGAATGCTAACGATAAAATGACGTCATAGTGTGATCGCCAAAAACAATCCGTATACACTGAGGACAAGAACAATCCTAACAAACAACAACAACAAACTATTAAATTTTAAACATATTTTCAATAATCGATAAACACGAAGTATTCAATTTCGTTTAATGTGATTGTTTTCATGGATTATTTTTTTCTTCAAAAGCACGCCTTACAACTGCGTTGACTCTTTATGACCTATTATTATATTTTATTTTAATTTGTTAATTTCAAGAGCCTTTAATTTTGTTTATCTTTTATAAAATATAAACAATAGTGAAAAATGCCAAAGATATACAATGTCTATTATATGTTTCTAAGTGTTATTGGTATGCTTGCTGTGGAATGTATCTATTGTTTATATACGCATGCGAAACTCACGATAACCGTAACCTTGCCATTCGCTCGATGAGTTTCGAGCAGGAAGGAAGATATATATTGTCGCAGTTTAATCTAAATACAATTGCGCGATAAGTACTAGAAGAATGCAAAGTGCGATAGTTTTTTAAAATTAATTAATTATAATTATAATATTAATGTTATAAAGCGTATTATAATATTAATGTTAAAAATAGCGTGATTATCAACTCGCGTAATTTATAAATTTTGTAAATGTGTAGCGATAGATGATTTAATTCGTTGTTACTACGAAATATTTGCCGCAAAATAATAGGAAATATTCTATTCTATTAAATTAATTAATAATTATTGTAATATGATTTGATTAGTAATTAATATGATTTGTATTTACGATTTTTCGTTATTTGATTTGTGTGATAGGCAAATAACGATTTAAATCGATAAACATAAAATTAATAATAGCGATCATTATGATTTTCATAATAATTTTTCATTATGAGAATTAATCAATCATATGAATTGATATTTATAATCATTAATTATATAATAAAATAATCGTATTTCGAAGTATAATGCGACGAATCAAAGTGATGGAGAATTATAAATTATATTATTTTTTCGAGCAATATAATTATACTTTCAAATATGTTTAGAGAAAGAAGATTTTATGTTTTTTTTTGTATTTTGAATTTTAAATTCTTTTCATTTAGATTTAAATTGTTAATCATGTTAACTTAATAATATGATTAAAAACACGTACTACATAATATACGAATCGCAATATCGAGTGATTAACATATTGAATAACCAACATTACATACATCAATACTGATACGTCAGATTAATAATTAATATAATATGATGATTGTCAGATTAATAACACTGGTCAACAGAAAATATAATTTTAACTTTTTCCTCTTATAATTTTGCAGTTTTGGGCTTATTTAAGTGTGTTGATTTCAAGTACAGTAGTTTTTTTTTAACAGCTCTTGTTTTTTAATATTTTTAAACTACCCCCTTTAGACATCATGTGCAGATTTTTTGAACTTTACTCGACTCAAAATTATTATATTTTTAACTTTTGATATGTCTTTGACTGGAAGATGTTGTTTACATAATCCAGATAGTTTTTGTTATATTTGTGGCGAATACATCTTTCAAATATTGTTTTTTTTTTAAATTGTAATATCTTATAAATAAAAAAAGTAGAGCTGATACAATTAAACTAGTATTTTTTTCGTAATCAATGCCTTAGATATAACTTATAATACATGTTAAATGGCAGGAAAAAATTTGAGTGTTGACCAGTGTAATTAATATAATATGACGATTGTTGATTAATAATTAAAATAATAATAAAAATATAATACTAAAAAAAATAGAATATATTCCGTATAAATCTATTTTGTAATGCGTCCAATATTTCGTGATTATAACGAATTAATTTCCGCAATATCACATATCGCATATATCACATAAATTCTGTTGCGCAATTTTAAACAGCCGTTTTTTTTCACGTGTTTTTTATCATAATATAATAAAGTATGCGTTTCGTAATCAGGAGTGGCATGATACAAAATATCGCGCGAACCGTTAACCGCTTCATTCGTAAGTGAATATTGTGTGAGAGAGTGCCACAACATAAGGGAACAAACAAAAGGGAACAAGACAGGAGGGAAAGAAAAAAGTTCGGGAAAGCATCGGATACCAACAGAAAAACTGAAGGGTGAGCAACTTCAATTTATTTATTTGTTATTTGTAAAATTATAATTATTTTGCGAATGTAATTTAGAGTTTATATATATACTCTTGTAGTACATATAAAATAAGCTAGATTCTCTATCCTAGAATATTTAAGAAATTATTAAATGTAAAAGTCAGTTTATAGAATTTTTTAATATGCATATTTTTAAATAAGTATTATATATGTAAAAGAAATTTTTCTCCTTTTGTAATTTTTTTTGCTGTAAATATTTTTAAACTAAATTTTATAATAACATATTTAAAAATATATTTTACATATAATAAAGGCCTCTAAATATTAAATAACAAAAGGCTTTTACATATTTTAAAAATCAGTTTTAACGGTATAATATGTGAGACAGTTTTGATGAATAAATTCGATTTAACCGCTTATGTGATATTCGAGGTTATTAACTTAACTATTTTATGTTAGTTTCGTGATGAATAATTTGCTTTGTAGAAAATTTCCAAGTATAATTGTGTTAAAAGTTTAAATATTGACCTAGCCACAACTGGTTAATAACTCGATAGAGCTACTTAGCGATAATGCATCTCGCATTCTCCGAAAAAATTGCTAGACGGTCAACCGTGAGTAAAAAAGATTAAAGTCGACCATCCGGTTTTGATCAAACATATCGCTAGAACAGCATGTTAATCCGAGAAGAAGGGGAGAGGTGAAACATATTTGTATTTTATATCTCGTCGTGTATGCCACACATTAGTTTTTTGCATATTATTAAATAAAAATAGACCATAATTTCATATCGACTTTTCACAGCTAGCAATAGATAAGGTTGCATTTGTTTGTTACATTTATTACACTATAATTTCTCAAATCAAAATAGATCAGTTATTTTTTATTTCGTAGATATTTCATGTGCAATTATATTTTTGTAAGAAAGATAATATAAATATACAAAGATAATATAATAATAGCTATTATATGTATATACATTAATATTTCTTTAAACAAAATTGTCGTATTAATTTTGTGTTATAATATTTTGGAAACTATTATTATTATATTCCTGATTTATATATAAATATGGAATTATTTAAAAAAATAAATAATCTAAGTTTAAAAAAAATGTAAAACTAGGAAAATTTAATGAAAAAGAAATTTAAATACGATAAGTTTTAGTGTTTCAATTAAAAAAAAGATATTAAAGATTTGAATATTCGATTATTCGATATTTGCAGAATTTATTAAATATGAACAAACTGTTAGTGACATGTGCAAAATTAAAATGTTGCATAACGGAAGATGCAGAGAGCTTATACGTTACACATATATTCAATAATGTACAAAATTAGGAATTATATATGTAATGCATTAAATTACGGATTAAATTACATAACTTTTTGAAGTCTGATTAAAATTAAATAAAGATCTGGATTTTATTATTTAACTATAATAATTAATATTATAATTTGAAAAAACTAGAATAATTAATATTATAATTTGGAAAAACTAATATTTAAAGTATGTAGACCAATATTTAAACCAATATTTAAAGTACCTGTATTTTAAGAATTCTTAATATTCTGGTTAAAACCGGTTTTTTTCTTAATTTTATCACTAGCATTAGCTTTTGACACTAATAGCAATTATTGGACAATTGCATTCATTTGCTACATCCGCTATACGCGATACATGAAATATATCGATGTGAGAAAGCAATTCTTACGATTCAAGGCTATGCTGAGATTCCGTGCTTTACTTGCTATCGAATAATTGATTGAATTTCTCATTGATTTTTAGAAAAACGGGATTTCGCAAAAATATCTAACTGTGCGACTTATAGAAATGAGCGAACTATTTGAATCAAAATCGAATCAACGATGAAATAAAATATAATTAATGATAGAATAGATAAGTAATTTTGTGAATACGTAAGTAATTTTTAATTTACTCAATAGTATCCAGGTAGCACACGTTCATTTTATACGTTTCTTAAACGTATCCAATGTTTTTTAACCATAAAGTATTAATAAGAAACGTTTTTATAAAAACGTTTTGAAAATAAAATTAGAAAAAATATGAAAAGTGGTTTGATAGATAAAAATCAATAAAAACATTTTCAAAAGGCTATTTTTCTCGTACTTAAGTTTTAGTCATGAGAATTATATAAAGCTTGCAAAGGGATGACAGATAAAATTAAAAGTATTACTTCGAAGAATATTTCTTTCGAACTCGGAAACAATCATAACTCTTTTCGAATTTATATTTACATATTGAATGATTGACATTAGAAAGATTATGTATTTTGACAACTTTAGACATATTTAAGCTTCTAGCAATGAATAATTTTACATTAGATTTTAAGTATCTTCTAACAATGAGTAATTTTACGTTATATTTTAAGTGCGTCATATTTTTTACCAAATTTATCTTTGTAACCCAAAAGCATTTATTTTAAATGATAGAAGCTATTAAAGCTTTTTCCCTTCCAAAAAAACATATTCTTATATACGTCGATTATGTTTTTGCATATTCACAAACATTTTTTCATAATTTTGAGATATTTTAAGTTCTATGATATATTATTAATAAACAATATATAAAAAGAATATAAATGGAGCGCGTAAATACTTGATAATATTTTTAATCAAATTATATTCGTATTTATATCTGAAATCAGAAAAAAATGCGCTATCTATTAATTAATAAATGTTATGTCATTGAGGCAGGCGTGAAAGAGATAAACGCGTTATTTGCTTTTTCTAGATTCTTCTATCGATTTTAATCTTGCTAAGTCATTTACCGAGCAACACGGCATTGCTGATACTCTAAAGTGTCTTTCCTCACATTGTGTAAAGAGAAACATGATCAGCAGTTTTCAAATAGTGACGAATCATGGGCGCTAAAGCTAATTAGAACCCTTGGTACAATTAGCGGATGAAAGAGTAATACTTAAAAAACGTTAAAAAATAAAACACAATGCGTAATCAAGTTCGCTAAAATTTGTACGTGCGAGATTTATCGCAACTTGTTTTTTTCAAAGATTAGACCGATTTATCAAGAGCATATCTTTTATGTCTTAATATGCAAATAAGCGTCGAGTCACGTCGAACGGTAGGTGCTCCGTTTCGATAGCAAAATATTGAATAATGAATTTATGCAAATCTCATTCTCTCCTTTCAGTCTAGCTACGAAATTTTTCAGAATAAAAAATCATCAATATTTCGTAAACAAAAACAATTGGGTAGTTGAGTAAAGTTGTCGACTCATGTAAAATATAATATTAATGTCGGTATATTAATAATATCTTAATTACATCTACTTGTGCAATGTTATTTTTATTTTTGTAAAAGCGCCTCTCACTTATCGTTGTTATATAAATAACATAATTATATCAATCGTAAAAGTCACGATAGAGAAGAAACACTCGAAGTAACGTTCGCATAACAACTGTATTAGAATCGATGACGCATATAACTTATCTCGTTCTAACATGCGTAATATTATGAGACTATCCTTTATTTACACGGGCTTTAAATAGATGGAACAAGCAAGTTGAATAGACAGTCTATGGTATAATCTCGCTGCCGCTCCGTCAGAGACTACAATCTCAAGGTTCAGTCTGTTGTGCCTCCTCTCTCTGTTCCTCTCTCTTTCTATTTCATTTCTCTTTACTTGTCACGAATAATTTGTCCCGATGTTTGTTAAAACTGATAAGATTATATTTCAACGATTGCGAATTTGTGATCCATAGTGTGCTACTTTGCAAGAAATTTAATAAGTGCTCGTACCGTTTTTATAAAGGTGGAAATTTGTAAAATTACTTGTCACATATATACTGCATAATTGCGTAAAAAATTGCAGTACGTTACATGAAACATGCATACGTTATATGGAATTCTAGAATTTTAAAATGCACAAGTTTGCTTTTATATAAATAATCGAAATAACACACGTTTTGTTTGGAATCTTAAAAAGCCCATAGTTCACTGCCACAAATTATTTCATATTGTTCGAGTGTCCGATCGATCATATTTTATTAATAATGTATCGTGCATTTTCGCAGATTTCAAAATGCCTATCGATCTTTATCAAATTGCCGGAAGTGCTCCGTGTCGTGCCGTGCGTTTGGCGGCGGCAGCCGTAGGAGTGGACCTAAACTTGAAGGAGACTAGTATTCTGGATGGAGATCACTTGAAACCCGAATTTGTTAAGGTAACTTAAAATAAAACTTCTCCACACACACACACACACACACATACATACATAGCCGAAGATTTAAAAATATAAAAAAGAACTAAAAGATTTTTAATTATAACATTACAAACACAAGAGAATTAATTGTTTAAAAAATTAATTATTTAAAATTGTTAATTAATTGTTTAAAAAATTTACATAAGTGTTAATATGATAATTAATAATGTTAAGAATTCTTTAAGAAATAAAACCTTGCATGTATGTGTTTCACGTTCTAATTAATTTGTTAAATGAAAAAAAAATTTCAAAATTTCAAGATGATTTAATCATTTAAATAATAATTATTGTATGTTTGAATATAGATAAACCCACAACATACAATACCTACAATGGATGACAATGGTTTTTATTTATGGGAAAGGTAAAGTAGAATTCTCAATGTTTTGATATTTAGTAAGTATCAAGAATTTGAGATATCCCAAAAAAATCTAGAGATATAATATATAATATAATATAAATTATTTATTATAATTTTTAATTATAATTAATTACTTATTGTTTATTCATTAAAATTGTAAACATATTGCAGCCGTGCGATCATGACATATTTGGTCAATAAATACGGCAAAGATGATTCTCTCTATCCAAAAGATCCAAAGAAACGAGCTGTAGTTGATCAGAGACTATATTTCGATTTGGGAACTCTATACTCATCATTTGCCGACACTTACGTAAGTTACTTTTAGATCGTTCAGTACTTGATAATTATGCATACGCAACGCGAAATGGTTAATATAATCGACATAGTTATATGCAAGGATAACATTAATTGCAGTATACGTGGATTTTTACCGGTAATGCTCCGGATCAAGCAAAATATGATAAGATAAACGCGGCTTTCTCTTTCTTGGATAAATTCCTAGAAGGTGAAAACTACGCGGCAGGGAAAACTTTAACTCTCGCTGATCTTGCTCTGGTTGTTACCGTTAGTAACTTTGAGGTAAGATATTAGTTTTTCGCAAACATATCACCGATTCATTAGTAAAACAACGAATCTGCATAAGAATATATTGAAAGAGAATGAAATATTTTTTGTGAACTTAGATAATATAAAGGAATTTGCTTTTTCAAATGTACATATATATATTACTTCTATTATTTTACATTATATTAAATAAATTTTTAAATTTGCAACTTTAAATGATAACTTTGTTTAAACTTGAAATATATGTTGATTAATATATATCATTTTCATACAATATATATTAATTTCATACAATATTGAACTTTCATGTATAAACTACATTTGTTGAAAATATATAGTTTCACCAATATACGCATAATTATAAGTTTTATTGTATACTATAAAACTAATAACTTAATTATCAACATTTTTTTTCTTTACAGATTATGAATTATGATTTCAGTAAGTATACTAACGTTCAGAAGTGGTTTGCCAGGATTCAGGCCGAAGCTGTTAAATATAATGAGATTGAAGACAATGAAATAAAAGCATTTAAAGGTTTCGTTGATAAGTTTATGAAGAAGAAGTGATTTTTTGACATTAGTTGTTATCTTAATATAAGAATTGTACGGTGCTTTATTCTTTACTAATTTATGTTGATTTTATCATTTCTTTTACTACTTTTATTAATTTTTATATTTCTTTTGCATATATTTTTTTACTATATCAATTATATTTATATAACTCTCATTTTATGCAAATTAAAGAAACATAATTATTAATATAGATTTAAAAAAGTTAATTCAAAACATATATAGTTAATTTTTGAAAAAAAATAACAAAAATTTAAATTTTAAATGAAATTAAAATATCTATTTTATTATTGAATTCTATTTTATTAATTAATCTTAAATTTTTCACATAAAATTCAAAATTATATTTAAAACTGTAGTACAATAGAAATTATAAAGCAAAATGAAATGATGATCAGAAATGTGTGCACGTATATGAAAAGAAATTCAAGGACATTATATACATTTAATTATAAATAAATATTATGTAATTATATATGTGTAATTTTAAATGATATAAATTGTTGTAATAATATAAAATTGTATGCGCATTATAAGATTTTATAAAACTTATACCTCATTTATCCTTATTATACATTATCAAATTTTTAAATCTATATATACTTTGATTTATATAAGAACCGCATCTAATTTTTTAGATACTTCAAAATATAATTAAAGATTTTCAACTAAAATCATATATTTCTTTATATATAAATCATATCTCTCCTTCGCCTGCATATCAAGTATAACTAAAATTACAAAAAAATAATACATAAAATATTTTATAATTTTAATATTTTTTGTGAGAAATTATGAAATATTTCGTAAAGTATTTACTTTCACTGTGTAAAGTTAAGAAAGAGGGAAAGAAGGAGAAGATTATTATAATGCGAGAGTGAAATGTAAACGAGACTTTTTCTACAAAAACTTAATAATGAAAGAAAAATATATATGAAAGTTTGTTAAATTTCCGTTTTCCAATATGTTCGCTTTCATGATCATGACATAGCCATCACCGATGTGAGAGTTTTTATGTAACTTGAATGAAGAAAGAAAGAAAGAAAGAAAGAAAGAAAACACTCTGCGAATTATTTGCACGCAAACGCCTTATCGCTTCATTCATGTCAAACTTGTAGTTGTCCAGAACCTCTTTATAAGTGGCTTAAATAAATAATCACAAAGTAATAAATCAGAAAGTGCTCTAGTATAGTTCGTCTATTCTTTCAGTGCTCACTCGTGTACATCATCACGCCGAATGAAGACGACATTATTATGTAATATAATTAACAAAAAACGACATCTAGTATATCTTGATGTTTTCGATATGTTTTCGATGCTGATTTAATTTTATCCATAAAAGATTACAGTAATATAGTACAATAATACGATTGCAATAATATACAATAATAGAGTAAAAAAATTCAAAAAAAATCATAAAATATTCAAAAATGCAAATTATACCATTTGAAAATTGCGCCGAAATTTTACATAAATTGCGAATACAATTTGAGACCAATGTTTCTCCTACTATGCAAGTATTGAAATGAGTACAAAAATTCAAAAAGAATCATGAAACATTCAAAAATGCAAATTATGCCATTTGAAAACCAGAAATTAAGAAGATATCAAAGATTAGATACGACTTCTCTTATACGACACATTCACGATGTATCGTAGAAAAATCATATCTAAAATTAATCTTAATGATTACTGGTTTTCAAATGGCATAATTTGCATTTTTGAATGTTTCATGATTCTTTTTGAATTTTTGTACTCATTTGAATACTTGCGTAGTAGGAGAAACATTGGTCTCAAACTGTATTCGCAATCTATGTAAAATTTCGGCGCCAGATATATTTTTGTTCGTTAAAAACTTTATGATTATCTATTGTGACATAGATGAATGTACTAGTTGCTCGCACATCGTGCTGTTACTGACTGGAGAGCCATATAGTTCTCCTTGAGATACGTTGTCAGAAACACTTACGTTCTCTCGTTAATGCAGCCATTTTAGCCTAAGTTAATACTTCGCCGTTTTACGAAAAGTCTCATTTATATTTGAACTACCCTTATATATTACATATAATAAGAAAATATTATATATATATATATATATATATATATATATATATATACATATATCTTTTACAAAGGTAAAGTTATAAATTCTTACCTCTTTGAGTAGGTCACTTAACAATGGGAAAACTTTTAGCATAGTTTGAGGGGTCTTCCTTTGGAGAATCTTGACCAAGCTCGCCTTTGTTATGAACAAAAAGTCTCTGCAGCAAGTGACCAAACCAAAAGCTTCCTCTCTCCTTGAAATCCTGTTAATAGGTAAATTCTACGTTATCGATCGGTGCAGAATTATGTTAAAAGTGCAAAATCTCAAAAGTTTAATTAAGTATCAATTAATAATTAATGTAATTACTTTGATAAAGATTAAATTTCTTTCTACTATATAATTCACTTTATTCTGTAATTCATTTATGTATTTTATAGCGATATTTTTTATAGAAATATATATTTATGTGCAAAATTTTATTTATATGTAGAAATTGAAGATGAAAGTATTGTTTGTGCAATTTTCTCATTAAGCATCTTGAGAAGTAAACACAAATTTTTATTAAAATAAAGTAGAATATGTAAATTAACTTAAAAACAGCGTATAATAGTAACGCTTAATTTTTTCTCAAGACTTGTAAAATTTGTATCTGCAGTTATATACATAATTATCTTTTTTAAATATGATTTCTAGAATTGAATATGAATATAAATATATATATCCGATGGAGTTGAGTTTTGTATAAAACTGGAAAATAAAATTTTTAAGTTGGAAGATTTTTCTGCACTGCGTCTTTTATAAGAACAATTTTCAAGTATATTTACATTAATGAGTCTTTCGAGAGAACTGTGAATTTATGCGCGATTTATCATTCATAATCTTATTATAGAAGACTTAATTGTCTTCAGATTTAATGTTCATATGACTTCATTCTTAAAGCAATATTTAAGTAATAATTATGATATAAAAACTCTCATTCAGTTTCGTATTTCATCGGTAATAACAGCAATACAGAAGTTGTAGAAGATATGTAAAAATTTCTTCCTTCTTTTAACACTTCATTGATTTATGCAACAAATGCAATATATAAAAAATATAATGCCGTTATATTATATGCTATTACATTTCTTAAAATTTATTTTTAGTATTTTTAAAATTACATAGATTACATAGATATATTAGAATTACATAGGTATAATAAAAAATAAATATATATATATATGTATCAAATATTTGCTTCGATTATAGTTTATATCTTTTAGATATAAAAAATATATAAAAAGCTATCTATCCATCTATTTCTAAGCCCAAAGGTCATGTCGTTTATACTGTCCATAATACAGAAACGTGTGTCCGTATATCGATTGATGAGAAACTCGCAACTTTATACAGTTCAGTCTTGTACGAACCCGGAATCGCATATGTATTCGTTTTCTCAAAACGAATATTTTACTTGTGGCATAATTTAAAATTGACAACAAGGTGACTTGTAAGCGTGTTTTACTAGCATAAGTAAAAGAACTTATATATCCATAAATAACAAATTGAATAGCTTAAGGCCAAATATGTCTGTGCAACTGTATTATTTACCTCCGAGTCCACCATGCCGAGCCGTATTGCTCACGGCAGAAGCGATTGGGCTCGAGATGGAACTGATAATGCTGAACCCGCATGCTGGGGATCCGGAATATGAGCAGGTAAAAATATAAAACCTGATAAAACTCTGGATATTGGAGATCAATAGATACAATATATCTAAAGTAGAAAACTCTGAAAAATGTCATGTTAATTAATTAATACATGAAAAGCACAATTTCTTTTCTTCCAGTTAAATCCACAAAGGACAATTCCTTTTTTAGTCGATGACGATCTCAAGATATCAGAGAGGTTTGTAGAAATATTCAAATGATATCGACGCATCTCTCTTGCATTTTATTCATTAAGGCATAATTTTAGTCGAGCTATCATGACTTATTTGGTTGAGCAGTACGGCGAGAATGATACATTATATCCGCAAAATCCAGAGGCACGTGCTCTAATAGATCAACGATTATACTTTGATCTTGGCACGCTTTACGCAAGCGTGTTCAATTATTATGTATGTAATATATTTAATTATTTTTAAATAGAATGACCGCAATCTCATGACAATTTTTGTCACAGATGCCCGTGTTAAAAAAGCAGATCGAGACGCACGATCCGATGGAATATGAGAATATGACACAGGCTTTCCATATTCTAGATAAATTTCTCGAAGGACACGATTACGTAGCTGGAGATAACTTGACCATTGCTGATCTTTCTTTGGTCTCATCTGTTACCACAGCAGAGGTAATATTCGTTGAATATTATGCAAAGTCAACAATCAGTTATTTTTAAAATAAACTATAATATGATAAACCATTATATTCATTTTTTTGTATAGCATTTTTCTTTGATGAAATTTTTTTAATAGATTATATATATACATGTGTATGTATATTGTTTTATGCATTGTATCCCTTTCACTAATTTTACTGATATTCAAATCTAATTGTTACTTGTCAATACAAAATCATATCTAAGATTTATCTTCAAAATGTTCAAAAACTCAGTCAATTTATTATATCAGGCTTTCGGATTTCACTTGGAAGATTATGAAAATGTTACTAATTGGTTGGAAAAAGTACAAACATTTGCACCTGGATACGAAAAGGCTAACGGCGAACCATGTGAAATGTTCAAGAAATTTGTAGAAGACTTACGAGGTGAAGAAAAAGGAGAAGAAGAAGAAGAAAAAGACGAAGAAAAAGGAGAAGAAGAAGAAGAAAAAGACGAAGAAAAAGGAGAAGAAGAAGAAGAAAAAGATGAAGACAAAGGAGAAGAAGAAGAAGAAAAGGAAGAAGGAGAAGAAGAAAATGAATAATACAGCATATTAAATATAATTATTTCTAATTGTTTGCGAATACAAAATAGTGAAAGAAACGTTTGCATAGCACTTTAAAGTGATGCTATTAATTAAATTTCAATTATACAGTAATATTACACAGTAATTGCAGAGAAAAAATAATCTATTATAAAAAAACTCTTTATATATTTAAGCTTGTATCTGAAATAATCATATAATTTTTTTAATCATTTTTTTTCAAATCTCTGTGTATTCTAGATTCTTTATAAATACAACATAACATATTAATAAAAGTAAATAAAAGCGATGCTTATAAGCACAAAATGAGAAATTAAATTATTATTATAATGATGATAAGTTTTTTAATAGACATTAACAAATTAATGTAAAAATGATATTTATTTTGTCATTTTCGAATTTTTCACTATAACAATATCATAAATCCTGTCAAATTCTCATCTGTTGAAAACTTGGAACGAAGACGTGAATAGTTACCGACTAATGGCTTACTTTTAAATTCGTACTCATTGTCAATGTATGGTATTTCATCTCTTATATCATACGTCGAAAAGTAATCTATTGAAAATCACAAGAGTTAATATTAAAAAATTTGAATTCTTCTTTATGAAATAACTCGTTATTTCATGTAATTATTTACATAATTTCTTCGATAATTTTTTATTTATTATAGAGAGAAAAATGAGAGACGTCATGATCCGTTTTTAGATGATACCTGAAAGTGATACGCTCTCTGTGGACATAAAATTTCTGGTTGTATTCCATGCTATGTGTATGAAATGTCGGTAACGCGAGTGTATAAACAAAGAGAAGACTGACAGGTGTCATGGCCTGCTTTCCAGGTGATCCTTGAAAGCGATACTTCCTCTATAGACATTGAAAACGTAGACATGAACTACAAAGCCAATGTCCATGAATGTTCTCAGAGGGTAATATATAATGTGCATAATTTCTGATTTTATTCCGTACTATGTGCACGAAATGCCGGTAGCATCAGTGCTGTATAACAAGACACTTATGTGTGTAAATTGATAGTAAATACATTATTCAATCGCGAAAGATACTGTAATATTCAAAGATAAAATATTTTTCTATGTTCAGTGTCATATTTATATCTTTTTATTTACAAAACACAAAATGCCTGCTGTGGGATAAAAACATTTTTAACAGTATTTCTATAAATCTTTTTAATTAGCAGCTAAACTGATGTTTGATATTTATCAATCATTTTTTTAATTATTTAAAAATTTAATTATTAATACATGTATAGAATTTGTCAAATTAATCACTGATTTTTTTGAAGTTTTTTATAATTAAGACTCGAAAAATATAGACGTTGCAAAATATTTTAATAATTTTTAACTTTTCCTTTATATAAAATATAAAGAATTCATATGTTCCACTTTAATATAGCTAACATTATTTTTATATATTTTTATTATAATTTTCATACCAACAAAATATTTTTATGCTTAATATAATATTTTTATGCATAATATTTTATGCTAAATACATATTATAAAATATATGACAAAATATAATATAAATTTAATATAAAATATAATTCGAAATTTAATACAAAATAATTTATCACATGGAATAAGTTATTACACGAAAATGTCCAAAATATACGTATAATATAAAATTTACTAAAAATTTTTATATAGTCCAGACGAGACTGATCAGTAAAGATTAATTACGCGACATTTATTATTAATAATAGATATGTAATAATAGAATTTAATAAGTTTTATATAACGTAAATAATCGTGATCAAAAGAATCATTAATAAAATTATTGATCGTTTCTTCGATTGTAAAAAAGAAAGTATTTGCATTACTGGCGCATTTTGTATAGATTTTCAAAGGAAATATTCAAAATGAAAAGATAGAATAAACTTTGAAATCAATAATTAAATTACTAAATAAGTCGCGATTTAAAATTCGCGAAAAAACGCGACGAATAAATAAATCGACATTAATCGGAATATTCGCTTGCGAGATACGCATAATTTTTATAATATGATAATCGAAACTATCAATAGATTCGCGTGCGATATAATTATTATCACACAAATGATGACAGACGAAGATATTTTGGCTAACATTTATGATTCGTTTTGTTTATGAACATAAAATTCACTGTCCGATTTATTTGCAATTAATACGCGACTTTATATGAATTTCACGATTGAGAATAAAATACTGAATTATAAGATAAATCGCGATTCAAAATTCCCGAAAAAACGCGGGGAATAAATAAGTCGATAATATGCGGAATATCTGATCGCGATACATATATTTTTTATAATAATAATCGAAGCTCTCAATAGACACGTGCGCGATATAATTATTATCACGTAAATTATAGACAATCGAAAATATTTTGACAAACACTTGACATTTTGAGGTCTGTAATGTTTGTGAATATGCAATTCGTCGACCGATTTACTTGCAAATTTTTATAAGATAAATCGCGATTTGAAATTCGCGATGAAACGGGACGAATAAATAAATCGATAATATTCAGAATATTCAATTGCAGATACGCGAGTGACATACCGGATAATCTAATAAAAAGAGGAGCGATCTTAAAAATGGAGAACAATTAACATCTTGTTTCTACATCAGATTTCGCAAGATCAATCTGCGAAGTAAAGTTAAGTGATCCATTGAACGTCGGGAACTTCACTGCAGGAGGGAACGAATCCTAGATCTTCCGGACTATTCCCGAGCAATGATTTCAGTAATAAATCAACGAAATTGATATGTTCATCAGAAAACATGTTCTTCCATGATTAAGAAATATATTCCTTTAGTGAAAATTAAATGGATCTTTTTTTATTGAAATACAATCAAAATATATTTGGATTAAATATATAAATAAATATATAATCATATAATTAAAAAAACTATATAATTTAAAATACTTGTATATACTTTAATATATTATATTCCATGTATATATATGTTAAAGTACGTAAAATATTTCGATGACGAACCTTTTTAAAGTAAATTAACTTATGATAAACGTCATGAAAATGTATCGCAACGATAAATCTTTATCGAATCGCAATCATTAATTACTGCGAATAAAAATTGAAAAAGGGAATATAAAAGGGGATAAAGAAATTAATTTTATTATGATCTTTCAATTATTGCTTATTATAATAATTTCTCTAACGATACTTATTGGAATTAAATAAATTTCGACCAATGCTTTAAATTTTCTTAGGCCCGTTTCTACCAACGCCGCTTAACTTTAATCTTAGCTTAACACACTCTTTAACACACTCCTTTTAACTGTTAGAAAGAGACAAAGAATGAATTAAGCTAAGATTAAAGTTAAGCGGCGTTGGTAGAAATGGGCAATCACTCATAGAATATTTCAACGACGTTTTATGACTTACGATCACAGTAACCTTGAACAATAAAGTAATGACGTTTCATATATTATCAAATTCTCTCTCTACATAGTCAACCTTGACGATATAAACAGTACCACGTAATGTAATGTTTTTGACTTACGATCATTCGCTCAGTGGTTCTCGAGCAGTGAGGTAGTGATGTGAGACGTTCCATATATTATCAAATTCTTTCTCTAACAATTATTTTGAACATTGCTTTATATAATATATTTTCTCTTATCTTTTATATTTTTATTTATCGTTTATATTTGCGAATTAAAATTTATATAGTATATTATAAAATTAATTATATATTATATTATATATAAAATTATGTATAATATAATATAACTCTCCCATGGGGTACACCTTGTCGCGGTGGGAGAGCTTAGTACTTGGAAGGTGCCTTGAGGTTTATCTTAAATTTTTCAATTTAGGATAAATCTTAAGATGCCTGAATGGGAAGCTAAGTACTCTTTCGCGTCGTCGATGCCGTCAACGTGTCGCGGATGGCAAGCGTTTCGTCAACGCGTCGCGTTTTCGCGTTGTAATATTCTCGCGTCGTCGCGTTTTCGCGGAACTTTTGGACTTTTTCATATAAAATCCCAATTTCATTTATTGTCACGAGTCTCTACTTCCGATGCCAATTAACTGGGATATTCGAGTTTGCACACGTTGCTCTGCAACGTATACTCTTGCTTCGTGCTTCGTCAAGTAATTCGGCTCGAATTAGTTAGAACTCGATCGATTGCTCGGAATGATCGTCAATGGGTCCCTTCTCTTTGCTCGTCTATAGCCACACGCACTGCGTGTGTTAACCCTGTCGAGGAGTCGAGTGGATTCCCCTAGACATGATTTTCGCTCGGTAAAAGGGGTTGCCTATTATGCCTCCCCATTTTCTAAATTGCTAAATGTAAGCATGTAAAAAATGTGGGTATCCTCTTCTTTTGCCATCTATCAGCCTGGTGTAGCATATAGCAACCACGGGAGGCATAATATGTCCGCGCGGAGCACCTGAAATCGTGCTTAGCGGATCCAGGTTCGATACGAGATAGGATAATTATGCGCAAAAAAGAGTTGGTGAACTTCATTTTCCTCTATTTCCGTCAATCGTTTCGTCTTCTTTCCGGTTTGGGCTTAATTCTTGCTTCTTGTTGTATCATTGCATTCCCGACCTTGATTGACTCGAAGTGGATTCTCGTAAGTGAAATGGGATTTTCGCTCGTACCGAAACTGGGAGTGCCGTTAAAGTTATATACATATTAAGTATATACATCGCGCGATCAAATATAAAATTTCTAATCGCATCGAAAGTGCGGGAGTGCCGTTCAGTAAAATAACGAAAATAGCGATATAAAAATATCGCTCGCGAGTGCGGGAGTGTCGTTAAAAGTATCGTGCGTCAACAACGTGAGAGGAGGAGGAGGCCTGGGAGAGGCATCTTGCATCGGCGGAGCAACCTGATGGTGAATATCTATTATTTATATAAAAGAAGTAGTTAAAATCGATCAACACTGACAATATTTATTGAGGTAAAAAATCACAATCACGACATTTCGACCATAGGTTTTGGGAGTCTTTCTCTGTGTGTTCATGAAGACAGTGACATGATAATTTTGACGAAGTGATTTCTTTTTTCTCACGATAGAACTGTTAATTTAATTACTTTCACTCGAAAAGGACCAAAACCTATGGTCGAAACGTCCTGATTGTGATTTTTTACCTCAATAAATATTGCCAATGTTGATCGATTTTAACTACTTCTTTTATTTATGTATTTACTGGCGATCTTCAAGAAAATTTGAATCTATTATTTATATATTAATTGTTATAAATCGTTAATTTGTTATAAACGAACAATAATTCGATCTTATTATTTAAATGAATTAAAGAGAAAGATTTTTATAAAAGTCAAATATAAAATTTTCTATTTAAAAAACAGTTCCAAAAATGTATAAAAGTTTTCCATACGTGTTTATCTGCTTATTATTTTACACATCAGATATAAAATTCCGCGCGATAAAAATTTTTTTAAATATTAATTGCATTTTGTGAGCATTATTATAAATGAATTTTATATTTGTATGTTACAGACAACTAGCTTCGATAACAACTCCGCTGTTGCGCATCAGTGCCGGTGAGTGAAAAAACTTTTATTTAACTTTAAGGTAACGGATTCGTAAAAATTGCAGACGTAGATGTAGATGTAGATTGTAGATTGTAGATAAATCCGTTACCTTAAAATGGATGAGCTAGGATGGATTAAATTAAATTAAATAAATTAAATTAAATAATTAAATTAAATTAAATTAAATAATTTTAATAAGTTCTTTCGAACTTATGCTTTGCATCTATTGCGAAAATTTATTAAAATTTTAATTAAAAAAGAAGAAATCAAAAAAAGATTTTTTTCTAAAGACTTTGTCTAATTTATTAAATAAAGGACACGCATTAACAATTATCAATTTTATCAACTTTTGATGCTAATTTATTCTTATAATACGCACTTATCTTCTAATTGCTCATCCATCGTAGAATTTGTTTATAGATATTGTTTTTAAACTTTACTTTAACTTAATATAAAGCCAAATGATTAATTAATTAAATAATTTGTAATATGATAAGTACACACATTAATTTTATATTTTATTAGAAAATATAATTTATAGAAATTTGTAGTAATTTGGCTTTATTTCAGTTAAAATAAAGTTATATTCAATATTTAATGAACGATCGTGAAATCGAACGATCGTTACTAAATGAGCGTAAATCAGGATCAACAGGCCAGGATCAATGAAAGATAGGTTTAACTGGCCTGAAGAGTACAGTTAGAATACGCGGTTAGGGCACGCAGTTAGGGCAAGTGACTAAGATATATACGTGATTACGCAAGGTGATGATTAGAGATAGGTTCCTCAAATGTCGAATAATTTTAGTTAAAACTAAAATTTAACTATAATGATAGGTATGCTTTCCATTAGCTTTATTTATTTATGAATTCCATATAGCACGGGACTGAATATTCTTAAAATATATTATTAAATTATGATTGCGAAAATACTATGTTTTTTCCGCGTTCTCTTCGCGTCCTTATACAAGATTATCATTTTAACAGAATAATTTTATTGCTGTCCCTCTCGTCAGATAATATTCTTAAATATTACTAATTTAAATATAAAGAAATGTCGAATAAGAGAGTGAAAATTCGATGTGATAAGTCAGCGATTAAATATTAGCTTCGTAAAATTTAACGATCACCTTCGATATTATAGAATCACGAGTTAATTATTATGAATTTAATAATTTGTTTTTTCAGTTATACTTGTATTTATGAATTTTTTTCGTAAATATTCATAAATAAAAAAAATTTTTTTTTAAATTTTTTCGGAAAATATTCATAAATAAATTAATCAATTACCGTTGCGAAAACACCGTGTTTTTCTCGCGTTTTTTTCGCGTTTTTTTCGCGTTTTTAGACAAGATTGTCGTTTTAATAAAAGAATTATCATTGTTCCTTCCATTAAATAAACGTTAATGAAAGTTGCGTGGTTTATACCGTCGAGGAGTCGAAACGATTTTCATCATGGAGAATTATTTCTCACCGGTTCTTGTGAGATCTATTTGCGACGTCTAGTGCTTCGGTGCTCTGTTAAAAATTGGGAATTTTTATTGTAAGATTGGAATTAATCCCAGATTTTCCTAACAATTTCCGAAAGCAATGATTTCGGAAGTAATTCAACGACGATATGCTTCTTTACGTCGAATTAATTTAAATAATATATATTTAGATGGGATAAATATGTCCTTTTTTTCATTAAAAATGTTCTATCATTATTAGGATTGGCATTATTATTGTTTATATAATGCCAAAAAATTTAATAGTAGATTAATACATGCACAAATTAACGTATCCAAAATATTTTTATAATTGTTGTTAATAAGATATATTATATATACAGGATAATTAATAAGATATATTATATATACACGAAATTATACAGGAATGTTACATAAAATGTGCGAATACTTAAAAATTTAGAGACATATCCCTATATTAGTAAGATATTGATTAAAAGAAAAAAAATTATTAGTTTAAACGTCATAAGAATAAGAATCTAAAGAAATTAATCCAGAATTAATTATTTAAAATTATTTCATTTATTTTATTTTGCACACTATTCGATTTGAAATTTTTTAAATCTTGCCGATATCAGGTTCGATTCGTCTCGCACGCGCGAACGGTACCCCAAATTATTGTGTTCGCACATTTAACACAAACTCCAATAATGTGCATGTATTTTATTATTTATAAATATAATCGTTCGTAATCACGTTTCAATAACAAAGGTTATATCCATTTAATTTTCAATAAAGAAATATATTTCTTAGTAATGGTAGAACATATTTTCTGACGTGCATATCAATTTCGTGAATTTATTACTGAAATCATTGCTCGGGAATAGTCCGGAAGATCTAGGATTCGTTCCCTCCTGCAGTGAAGTTCCCGACGTTCAATGGATCACTTAACTTTACTTCGCAGATTGATCTTGCGAAATCTGATGTAGAAACAAGATGTTAATTGTTCTCCATTTTTAAGATCGCTCCTCTTTTTATCAGATTATCCGGTATGTCACTCGCGTATCTGCAATTGAATATTCTGAATATTATCGATTTATTTATTCGTCCCGTTTCATCGCGAATTTCAAATCGCGATTTATCTTATAAAAATTTGCAAGTAAATCGGTCGACGAATTGCATATTCACAAACAGTACAGACCTCAAAATGTCAAGTGTTTGTCGAAATATTTTCGATTTTCTATAATTTATGTAATAATAATTATATCGCGCACGTATCTATTGAGAGCATCGATTATTATATTATAAAAATTATACGTATCGCGATCAAATATTCCGCATTTCCTTAAGTAAATTTATCAAATTACATGCCATCGCCACTATCACGTCGTGATTTTATCACAACGACTACTGTTAAAAATAAAATGTATAAAATAGTCTAATTTATTTCTAAATATTAAATATTATAAATATTAATAGTTATATGTTGTGTAAAATTTAATTATAAAAGAATCTTTTTAATATATTCTAAAAGGAATGAAGAACTTCCATCAACGTAGCAAAAACGAAATTATAAACAAATATATTTAACTTTTTTACTATTGTTTAATTAGTAAACTATACGCGATCTTCGCGATGATAATTATTCATGAAGTAGGCATAGTGAGATAATCAATTATTATCGCGGAAAAGAAATAACAATTTAAGAGTATCGATGTAATATTTTTAAGAGACAATTAATTTATAACTTAAGAAAAAATATATATATGTCGAGGTACGTAAAATATTTCCTCAACAAATTTTCGTAACATTAATATGAATATCAGTTGCAGCTATTGATAGAGCCATTCATGCCGGACAGATCCAAAGGATTAGACTAAAAGAGATACACAAAAATTATACATATTTTATCAATATTTTTGAACAAATTGAAGGCGGAAGAAATAATAATAGTAATCATCTTTTAAGAATACTTAAGAATAAATGATTTTAGAACATATTCCGATAAACATCACAAGAAGAAAAAAGAGCGACGAGTCCTTATGATCTTGAAAATGAGACAGCTCATTTTTCTCTCTACGTATATTCGTCATTATTTTCATAAATTATTTTATTATTGTTGCTCAATTTTGAAAAATAATTTTGTCATTTTTTAAAAATTTGTCTACACACTATACAAACATATTGATTCACAATAGTTATATGCAAAATCACTACTCTAAAAAATACGTAATTTATGCAAATTTGAAATAAAAGAAAAATTATCGTTATAAAGAAATCCCTCGTATAATTACTAACTTACCGATACGAGAATATATCTAACAACGCACAAAAAGTGCTTTCTTGATTTTAAAATTTGTTTAATCATGTACACCATATGGACCAAATGTAATGATGATATCTGGATATATTTTTTTTTAATTTGATGCTAGTAATTTCTTCTATAATTTTAAATTTTAAATCTATATATTTTCTTCGCTCATTTGTCGTAACAATGTAAAATACGACATTGCAGTGCTTAATATCTGTTGCATATATAATTAATAATTAATAATTAATTTTATATTATCGCATATAACTTAAGCGAAAATCAAAGCAAGAATAAATGTAAATATATTAAACATCTTTATATGTATTGAATCTTGTAGAAAATTTATTATAATATTCTTTCAATTTTTAAGAAAATAATGCAAAAAATATCTAAGCAGCAGTATAAAAAATATAAAATATTGGTTAAATAATTGATAAAATATATAAAATTTGCATATAATGCAATATTACATGACATAACTATTTGTTAATTTGTTAGCATATAAAATAATTTAATCATATCTCATAATCATTTTTGATGGATTATTTTACAATCAGGCAAAGGAATAAAGTGTGATTTATATAATATTCTATTTATATTGAAAAAAGAGAGATTGTGTGGCGTTACTTAATATTTACAATAAATAAACTTCTTATCCTGAAAAAAAGGAAGTTCATCCTACAGCACTTACCCCAGTAAAAGTGTCCAAAGACATAACCGCGAAACTTCCAGCAGTTAATGTACACGGTCGACGTGCTCTAATCATGATTATAATTAACCCTTTCCTCACTGCGTTTCCTGGGCCATTGTTAGGTAAAAGATACCACTTGGAGTTATAAGCAGCATCGGAGATGGCTGTACTTTGCACAATTATATCATTACACGTCCATGTATAAATAAGTAATTGGATAAGACCGCCCACAAAGTGGAAGGCAAAAATACATTTTCTGATGGCTACTTCCGCCGCCTGCGAAAAAAGTGTTTGTAAATATTTTAAAAGAATAAAATACTTTTAATAAAAGAAAACTTTCCATATTATTTTGCTTTCAATTCTAGCAGTCTTGATAAGATGCATTTAACTGTTAATAAATAGAGATGCTTTCCACTTGCTATACATCTTGGAATCATTTTAGAAATTATTAAATACGTCTATTCTTAGATACATTATAATTGTGAGATTTTTAGATTTATGAATTATAAGAGAGAAACAAATTAATAAAAATTGAAAAGACATTAAATCTTAATGTAAAATGCAAAATAAATATTTATTTAATATTTCGCGAAAACACGTTGCTGTATAAATATAATAGAATTAATTGTAAAATATACAACGAGTTATGAGGCAAAAAAAGAATTAATTGTAACATTTGAAATCTTACGAGAAGTTGGAATCCACCAAAACAGATGACTATACTGGAGAGCAATAATTGTCCTAGTAATATAACGGTGAACACACGTTGCATGTTATACACGTAATTTATGAGGGTGTGATGCTGTTGCACACATTCTTGCATATTTCTAAATGTTAACGTCGCGATATCCGTTTCAGACAGATGTTTCTGATCAATCACGTTATTGATGCAATCCTCGGTGATTGTTTCCACTTTATGAGCCAAAATTTTCAATTGCGCGGCCGTATGGATATTGAATGTGCTTATGAAATTATCAAAGCAGCAAGTACATATACCCGAATGTATCGTCGAAAGTGACTGCAACATGACAGTTAATGGGATTCTAATATAATTGAGAAAGTGCTCATTTGTAAACTATCAAAATTTGACATTTACATGTAAATTGACATTTGCATAGTTGAATATATTTAATTAATATTTACATCTTCGTTATATATAATATTGATATGATTATTATAATTAATTATAAATATTATGGGAATTAATGTGTGTACATTTACATATAATATTTATAAGAACTTTTGCTTAAAGAATTATTGCCATTATATATGTATTTATAGTGTATACATATATGTATGGATTGTATCGGATATTATAATACGCAGAAAAGAAATGAAAATTATTCCTTCGATACAAATACAAGTCAAAAATATGGAATAAAATCTTTTCATACAAAACTTCATTTTTGAGAAAATAAATTTTAAAAATCTTTCAAATGTATATTTATGCATTTATCTGACAACGAGAATCGGCTCAACAGATTTTGTCACACACAATTATTTTTATTCACTTCATACTTGTAAACAAACAATTTACGTTTCTTGAATTCATTTAACAATTACTTTAGTTCCGACAAAAAGGATAACATTTGCAGCAATTTTTAATTTAATGAAATAAATGCATTATTAAAACTTGTATCGTTTGATTTATACTAGGTCATGATATTATATATAAATAGAAATAGAAATAGTTGTGTAGATTTGACTTATCAGTCAAATCCGCTGCCTCGATTAATTTTCAAAATCGATTTTATTATAAATGAGCAAATAACAAAGGTATAAATATTTGAAATAATTACGTCAGTTATCATTATAAAAATTAATATGTCAAATAAAAAGATAAATTAAATTAAATTTTTTCTTAAAGAACATTTAAAATGAGAGAAAACTCCGAAAATTAAATTTTACAAATATAAAGAATTCGATTCAGTTTTATATATTTTGTGAAATAAATACAATATATGTATAACATATTATATAAAATAAATTGAAAAAATTTATACACTGTTACCTGTATAACATAAGTAATTTCGTAATACGGTGAATGATATGGAAAATCGATCCACAATTTGAATGGTAAAATCTTCTCTGTCTTATTTAGTCCTTGATGATCTATAAAAAAAAGAAATCTCCTTTGCTGTATAGCATCGCTTTATATGAGAATTTGAAAGATAACGTCAATGCGGCATAAGCGAAAACCGTAACTATACCGAAAAAAGGTGCGCAGATGTAATTAAATGTCGCGATGTAAACGATCAACGTAAAAGTATAGACCATAATCATTCCTAATTTGTCGTACCCTTCCAGAATTCGGGTATCAACTTCGTTGTAAGTGACATTCCAAAAGTTCTTCTCAGCGAAACGGATCAAATCCATTATCATATCGTGATAGAACATGAAGCTTCCCAACTTCACTAGTATCATTACTAGCAGCAACGTTGTACATAAATTGGACGTGACAGCCTATGAGTAATAAAATTGCCGAGACTTAATTATAAATAGATGTATGTTGCTTCTATATTAATGTTCTGACAGTGCGTATGCATATAAATGAACAAACGTTTAAAGCATTATAATTAAGGAACTTAAAAATAAATCTCGACAAAAGCGAGACAGTTTACGCAAATTACATCATGTGTCAAGAGAAGTGAAATTGATTAAATATATGTAACGAAAGATTTAAAATAACTATCGAATAAATGAAATAAAAATAAAATTAGATATAAAAACAAGTAAAACAATTTACATATAATTAATTTTTGCTTCTATCTATCTAGGAAAAAAATACGAAAAACGATCGCTGTGTTACTTACATAAAAATCGCCTATACAATGATAGAGATCGACGCCCTCGACGAGAATGGCAAAGATAATCTGCCAGACAGCATAGCCAAATGCAATGCGCAAGAGCAGCTGTTCCCGCGGTGTCTTGACGTGCCAGAGGCCTACCATTTTCATGAAGACCCGTGTAATACTCACCGATCGGTATTCTTTACCTTGTGTCATGCCGAAACTCGTGATTTTCTTACACCGGTGCGACCCTAAGTACATCCGAATAACCTAGCTACATCCCGGTAAATGGAAGCCCATTATTCTACAGACAGAAAAATTGGTGCGCGCTTATCTCGTACTATGAGATAAGTAGCACTATAAGATGCATGTGATTATAGCCTGTTATTGTTTCCCGTGATTGCTAAGACAATCAATAGGTGATGTGTGTGATGTCGGTCTTTGCTTAACAATGCACAGTTTACTTCCTTCAGTTGTTTCCGCTTCAGTAACTAGACTACGAGTTATCGAGATCTATCATAAACTGAATATCTATTTGCAATTGTTGCTGTGTAAAAATATAGCAAAGGTAATTATACTTTTAATAATGTTTACTGATTAATTATTGTTTGATAAACAATTTTTCGCGTAATTTTGGCATATGTCGTAATACCGTGATGTAGACAAGGAATAGGAAGATTATTGAAACAACATTTGAATTTTCTATTAACTAAAGGGAAGCCTGCAAAAATTTTTATTTTGTCAATCATTTACAAAAAATATAATTATATCTTTTTAGTTTGCATGTCAATATATAAAACATTTTTGTATTTTTTTTTCTTTTTGTTTTCTCTCGCCCTCTCATATAATAAAAATTATATAAATCTTCATATATATTTTGATATCGCTAGTCAAATAAAGGGATCAAAAAAGTGTAGTCGACCAAACTAGCCCTTCTGGCTAGTTTGGTCGACTACACTTTTTTGATCCCTTCATATATATGTATAATATTAATAATAAATAAATAATATTAATAATATTAAATAATATTAATTTAAATAGGAAATCTTTTTACATACTTATGTATATATATCCAAATTGTAAAAAATTCCTAATATTTAATGATTTAGTATTATCTCTTACATCGACAAATGTTTCAAAAAAATATTATGAAACAAAAAATTCAATTTAATCCAGATTATTTTTCAGATATATTTTTGTTTTATTTTCCCAATTATTTTTCATATAATGCTATTTTACTTTTTATGTAATTTAACCATTTGCAATGCCTTTTTTGCAATTAATTTGAAAAAATTAGTAACACAAACTTTGATACAAAAATTATTCGTTATTAACATTTATTTAATTTATAATTGAATAAAATAGCACATTTTATATAGCATTTTGTATATCATTTCATTGTCTAAATAATTTCGTAAGAGATTTGAAAATTTAAGCAGCGAATTTGAATGATAAAACCTTGTCTATTTTGTTCCTTCATCGATTTTCTATCTACAAAATATGTAAAAGATTTCTTTTGATGCAGTACAGCATCGCTTTACGTGGGTGTTTGAAAGCCAATATGGCGTAGGAGGAAACGATAGTTATATTGAAGAAAGGTGCGAAAATGTAATTGAATGTTTGCAACGTGAATAATGGAATGTAAATGTATAGGTCATAGTCCTCCCACGTAGTTTATTGTATTTTTTCAAAAATCAAATACCTATTTTGGTCGTAAATAATATTTCAAAAATTTCTTTCAATAAAATGAATCAAATCTATTATTGCATCACACTAGAACACAAAATTATTTAACTTTCGTCTTTTATTCATCAAAATTAAATAAGAAATGCTAAATAATAGTCTCCTTCTATCTCTCTCGCTTTCCCGCACGCATAAATACATACATACATATGCTTTCATTTCGAGGTAAATGGTAAAATACAGAAATAAATACAAAAATAAATTGTGCGTTTTATCAAAATAAATTAAAAAATTCTTGTTTCTATCAAGAAAGAATGTACGATTTTTGCGAACATTAATGTTATTTGTATGCAATATGGTTTTCAACGAGAATAATGAAGCCCGTTCAAAGCAAATGCGACGCGCAAGAGCAGCCATTCCTTCAGAACCTCGATGTTTACTATAAAAGTCGATTCAATTTTTTTTTATAAAGATCCTTATAACACTTACTGATCGCTACTTCTTACCTCATGTGTCAAATCTCGTAATTTTCTCAATGCGTTGCTCCTCAGTCCTAAGTACATTCGAATGACGGAGCTATCCCGACGTAAATGGAAGCCCATTATGTTAACAGGCAGGAAAATTGACGCCAGCTTACCACGTGCTAGTGACAAGCTACCATCATAATGCGTCTCCCTTGCCGAAGCGATCAATCGATGATGCATATATTAGTTTCGATCTCCTCATTGTTAAGCTTTCTCTCTTTGCCGTCAGTCGAGCCATCGAATCTCATAGCAAATTGGATGTTCACTTACGACGTAAAACAGAACGATAAAGCAGCGATATTTGCATAAAACTCACGTGATTAATTATGATTATATAATAAACAGCTTTTTTATATACATATATGAGTGTACAAGAAACAAACACACTCACATATTCATATGTAAAGGAAAATAAAATTCTTACAGTATATCTTTTGGAAAAAATATCATGCTTTATTTGCCAGAAAAATTAGACAATCCTGTTAGCCAACTGTATAATATACATATGTACATTTTATGTATTGTATAAACATATGTTTTATTGTACAGTTTAAAATTTAAAATAATGCACTAGTCTCCATTATTTCTGATCAAAACTTAAATATTTTGACATAACGTTCGCTATAAGTATTTTTAAACTTTTTCTTACAATTTATTACTTAAATAATAAATAATATAATAATCAAATTTTAAATTTCCTATATTCAAGGCTTATCTGTTATTTTCCGACAAAATTGCGAAGCAGAGTAAAATAAGATACAGCGGTGCTCAACACCTGAAAACAGGATTAGATATGTCAATTATAGATATACGTACCTGTATAATCGCACATTTTTATACTAACCGTCATAAATGTTTCAAGGGATACCGGGAAGAATCCACCAGCAGATATGGAACAAGGACGCATGGATCGCTTCATGATCATCAGAATAGCATTTCTGACACCTTTGTTATCATTGTGGCATAAAACTTGCCAATTGGCATTATATGCCGCGTCTCCTATTGCGCGACTCTCTTCTATCAAATCGTTCGACGTCGCCGTAACCACGAACAGCTGGAAGAAGCATGCTATTGCATGGGCGATAAATATCATGCGTCTGACAATTGTACCTTGGCCCTTTTTCAACAGAGATAGAGATTTATTATTTTTTTTTATTATTTATCTATTATTTTTCTCTGCCCTTTTTTTACAAACACACACACACACTCTCTCTCTCTCTCTTTTCTTTTCTTTCTCTTTCTTTTTCTTTTGCACAATAAGCGTACATATACTTTATATGCTTTATATGCTATTTATATACTTACTAGAAATATTTGCAAACCCGAGACGCAAAGCAAAACGGAGGATACCAGGAGCTGGAAGAGAGTCGTATACATAAAAAGACGTTCCATTGCTTCACTGTACCAGATTAACTTATGATGTATCGTGATGCATTCTATAATTTCTTCGTATACTTCGTATACTTTTCCTTTCTTGTTGAACAATTCTACGGTACCTCCTCGCTCGACTTTCTGTAGAATGGTTTCTATGCGATGCTGAAGTATGTTGAACTGTCCAGCAGTGTGCATGTTTATCAGACCTAAGAGATTATCGAAGCAGCAAAAGCACAGGCCCGAATGAATGAACGCTACGACCTATAAAATTAAATCTGTTTAGAGAAAAAAGAATTGTAAGGCTATGATTTTCGTTCTCTTTAAAATCTAATTAAGGATTACGTACACTCAAATCTACAGTCGCGAATGTCACAAAACGATTTCTAGAAAATTAATTCTGACTCTAATGTCTCTATGCTATAAGCGAGGACATGAATACGTTGGGTTACCTCGAAAAAAAAAATTATTTCAAAATTAGGCGAGACGTTTGTCGGAATTCCGACCCAGATATTACAAATGAGTATTCTCTCGCTTTCGTTTTTCCCCCTATTCTCTATAAAAAAAATGTAACATAGGAGATAAATGAATTCGTTCGCGAAGCGAATACTACGAAGAAAAATAGCTTAATATAGAGAGAACTTAACTTATTGGAACATAAAAGATTTTGTTTTTTTTTAAGTATTTTGTTCTCTATTAAACAATGTAAATTAAAAATACCGACTAAAGGCGCCAGCATATACGTGAAAACTGCTCCTTGAGTGAAGAACGTAAACGTGAACAATAATATTTTTCCTTTTCTGTCGATTTTTTCCAATAGCTTGCTGCCATATGCATCGTACTGAACGTACCAAAAGTTATCTTCCGTATATTTCAGCATTCTCAGCAGTTCTTCTCGATGATATAAAAAGAAGCTTAGTTTCAACAAAATTATGACCACTGGAGTAGCAGTGCAAGCAGTGTACGTAAGAGCCTAACATATAATTTTATTTTTGTTATTAATATCTGGTTCCTGGTACAAAAAAATATATTATTCTATGAAATAAAGTAAAGCATGAAAATTTCTGACATACTAAACAATTGTTTAAATAAAGAAAAAATAAAATGAAAAATTTATTAGATTAAAAGAATTTTTAGAAAAATTTATTTATTTTTTTTTTAGAAAAATTTATTAGATTAAAAGATTTTTTTACTCACGTAAAAATCACCTGTAGTCAAGTACAATTCAGTTGCTTCTATCCATAGAGCTAAAGCAAACGCAAATAACGTATAGACCAAAGTTCCCTTTAATAATAATTTTCCTTTTTTCGTTTCGGCAGGCCAGAAACCGATAGTCTTCATTAAAATTCTCGCCATTCGTATCGACAGATATTTATTCGCGTTTCTCGTCGCCATCGTTCGTCAACCGTCACTTTCACGATTATACTGTATTAACGAGATTCGTATTGCACCCTGCAATAATAGATATAGAGATACGAAATAGCGGGTATACATGCACGGCAATTGTAGCACGATCTTTGATCGAGTTATTTCTCCCCTTCTATTATCTTAACCTATTATCATGCTGTATAGAAGAAAGTAGAAGGAGTGCGTGTTGTGTTATTACAGACCGCGCACCCTTCGCCCTTCTCGCGAAAAAGAATATGCAACGTAAAGATATATTTGATTTAGAATTGCCTGATCGATATAAAAAAAACGTGCTTTCTTTAATCTTTTTTTTACAGCTGTTATATTCACAAGATTCTAAAAAGAGATTTGCAAAGAAACAGATATCAGAAGAAAAGGAAGGAATAAAAGAGTGCTATACTACGTTTGTGTTAGCGGTTGTGAAAAAGTGCCAGTCAAAGATCGCTGTCGCTAGGTCGCATTTCGTTTTCCGTATTTTATTAAATTCTAACACGTAACACATATATTACTAACATTTCGTGCAACGTGCAGCATAATTTAAGGGTCGCATAATTTAAATTCTCCTACATCAACAAACGCGTGTTTTCCCAGATTGTTAGCTACAGAAATTTAATTAAGAAGAAATCAAACATGAAATATACGTTACTCTAAACTTTATATTAATGTTATAAAGAAAAAGTTAAAAGAATACAAGGAATATTCAAATTCTTGTAAAATAGTCTTGTTTTGCAATCTCCAGAAACTCAAGGTAAGAAACAGAATCTCTAGAAAAATCCATTTATGTGTCGTTAAGCATAAATTTAATATCTGATTTAATCGAAAGTTAAAGAAAAATAAATATTATTAATTCGATAAACGATTACTTATTTTGCATTAGCGATCATCTTTTTTATAATCTGCCTTCTCTCTTCCTTTTCTTCTTTCTTTTATGCAAGATTTTGGAAGGATTGTCTAGACGACCGGACATATATATAATCTACATATATAATCATATTTAATTCGGTTCGAGCGGGTGTAAAGTCTAAGCGCTTATTCTGCAATTCAGCAACACTGATGTGTTATATGACCTGATTTTTGGTCGTTTGCTACGACAGCACTTTTATTTTACATTCAGAAATATTTTTAATTTTTAAAAAGAAAATAAAATTTTATATCGAGAGAAAAAGAAAGAGAGAATCATAATATTTTGTAATTAAAAATAAGAAAGCAAAAAAATTTTATAAAAAAAGAATGTATAAAAAACGTAACAATTTCCTTGCTAATTATTTACTGCTAACTTTCTTATTACTTTGTTTTATTATTATTTTGGTATTTATAAGTTATATCTATACATTTATATATTTATATTTATATTTGCGTGTGTATGTGTGTGTATGTATATCGTAGAATGTTATTGCATTAATTATAAAGAAATGTTTATTTAATTCTTCCCAACAAATATAATCTATTAATTGCTCTTACATTCTTTCCAGTTAATTATAAGACTTTTATTACACGTGAAAAATATTTTCTACATAATTTAATTACATTATAATAATGTTTAACATGTTTATATAAATGTTTAAGAGAGTGGTACAATTATCTGTCTGATAATTATATTTCATAATAGATTTAATTTTATTAATTTAAATTCAATTTAATTTTCTTCATTATGTTTTTCGTTGTTTATTAACGTAATATGTACAGTCCAATGTATTTCGAATAGGGCTTTCTGTTAAAGATCTATCCTATTATTTGTTTTCTGTATATTGTATTGTGATTCTCGTTATTAATCATATTAATTATTGATTTTCATTGCCGAAATTTCTTTTTATAATAACTTTTAAACGATTACATTACATTTTAACGATTCATTACATTCTTACTCTTTTATGTGTAATGTATACACACATATAGAATTTATCTGTTGAACGTAACTTCGTATAATGATTATATTGAGATCTTTTATTCAGGAATGACACCACTTATGATTATCAATTTTTATAATTTTTTCACTTGATGTAATTATGCAATTTTTTGAAAATGCAGCAACTGGTTTACATTCTTTCAATTTTGTATAAGGAACGTCTGCAAAATGAATTGCGTTTGATGAGAGATTTTGGTCCATAGAATAGGAATTCTGTAGCGAATTAAGAAATGTCTTTAACTTTGTTCTGCATTAGTTTTCTGGTTTGATATATACAACTGTAATTAACTTCTTTATTAGACATTGTACAATCTTTTTTATATCAAAAATTTTCTCATGTGTGTGCGTGTACTTTGTAATATAATCTTGTTGAATTTCCTCTCCGACTGCCTCTGTTTCAGTCTAACATTTCATTATCGCAAACGTTCTTTGCGCGTCGTGTTGCGTTTCACCGGCTACATCGTACCTTCTGTTGCGGTTAGCCGAATTAAGCCTGGAATTTTCGACAGGTTGCCCACCTTGCAATGTGCGGTCGGACCCCCGAAATATCCGTCAGAAGTGAGTATCGATCTTGCCGATGTTAGAGAGATTTACGACGCGTAGGCGAGCTTCTTTTAGATGAGTAACATGATATACTCTAACGCAAGTCACACGGTTGTTTCGTATTTAGTTTCTTCTTTAATTTCGTCCTCGTTACTCCTTTTCGCGTCGAATTAAAGTTCCTTTTTCTCTCCGTCTACGTTTATTCTGTTTTGCCATTATTCGTGCTGCCTGTTCGCGTAGATTCTTATTTCGTCTGGTTCTATTAAAGTTTAATTGTCCTTTTCCGGCTGCTCGTTTAGCGACCGACGTTCCTCGCGAATACGTTCTAGTTTTTCGCCCATCAGGAGTATTGCAATATTTGTCAAGTGCATTAGTGATTTCGTGCAATTTTCGTTAAATTTTCCATGCCCGGGTAAATGAGAAAACGTGCACGTCTTTTTTGAAATTGGCGACTATGACACACAAGAGATGATGGACATCAGGATTACATGAAGAAGAGTACACAATGGAGATATATGTTTTATTGTATATATTTTAATGTTCTTTTTTTGAGAAAATACGTATACTTATACTCGCAACTCGATACATTTCAGCTACATGAGACGCGATTCGGCATTACCACGGCTGCTATAAAAATGTTGGACATAAGGATAATTAGAATTTATTGCTACATCGAGAACAATGGACAGAGAACGTGCGCCTCCATGGCTGATGGGCGTGATAACGTCAAATCGCAGGTTTACATACCATCTATTATATATGTAGATATATGTATATGTACATACATTTATTCGCAAAACATGTACAACAAACAAAGACTATCTTTCGTAGTATTTTACGTATATCCGACTTAAAAAAAATACGGCAAGTATATTTCGTATTATTTTTTTTTTGTCAATAAGTAAAGAGGCGTCGACACTGTGGTAACATCTTGATTGGTACATTACACATACGCTCTGATACAACGCTAAAACACTTATCGACTTCGTTCTCGCAATCTTGTCTCCTTATCTAGTATGTTTCTATTATTTCATTGTTATACAGATAACGCTGCCTATCCATATAACGCGTAACTGTCAAAGCAAAATAACGGAAAGAGAAGAGGGATGATATATCTTTCAATGTTATATGTACTAAGAGGATTTAACATTACAGCTGACTCTCGTTATTCGAAGCGTGAATCGGATCCCCCGTATACGACCTTAAATCCGCAAAATGTGCAACAAAAGTGTCAATCTAATCGGTGACACCGGTGTGCAAAAGCGATATTACGTTCTTTACGATATTATTATTAGATTTGTGCAAAAAGGGGATATTGTATCAAGTTCTATTTTAAATAATAGTTAGTTAAAAAAACTGCAGGTGCGAGAAAGAAAAGCGCTTTTTCTAAAACGTGAACGAAAAATTAATAGTAACTATGTATTAATAAAAAATTTTTCTCTCTTTCTCTTTCTCTCTCTCTCTATTTTTATCTTTATCTTTAAAAAATTTAATGATAGAAGAAAATACCAGCTTCTTCACCAGCTTGATAATTTATGATTATAATGAACGCTCTCTTTCTCTCTTTCTTTTTCTCGCGGAGAGTAACATTCATACGCAAACATACACACACACACACAATTTCTGCACAAAATTGTGTAATAATATTTTTTACACGAACAAAGTATCGAAATGTTCAAAGGCATCATCTCACGATTACGAACGTGCATCTTCAGTATCTCGACGTGAAAATCTTTCTTGCATCTCATCAGACTCCGCTACTTCATCATTAAACGTACCCGACTACTTTGCGTAGTCATTGCTAATAATATAACTGTAAATACGTCCTATTTAATTAAACATTTAATTCGCATATCCTGCTTGAAAAGCGAGATTATTACGCGTACAATAACAATATAATAGGGAGTGTCTCGCGCGCGGTTAATAAAAAATTATGTACACAACAGAACGCTTATAAATCTATCGGGAAAAACGCTAGTTCACTCTATCACTGGCTTCCCTCGCGTATCTCACGCGCCATCAGAAAAAATAATTATACGAGACGATGGATTAACCTTTCTAAGCGTCGGCAGATTCTCGCTGTCTCTCTTGGAATTAATTTTATACTATCTTCTCGACGTATCTTGCAAACAATTCATCGATATATCGGCAAATTGATATTATATAAAAGATTTATGATAAAAGTATTCTTTGATTCAACTTTAAGAATTATACCTTTCGCATGCATCTTTTGGTAAAAGTAATAAAAACTTATATTTCATGGATCACTTTATATAATTGTGTGTGTGAAGAGAGCAAAACTCTGAGTAATTTACATTTTCAATTTGATGATGGTATCTTTTTTTGCTAGATATGCGATTTTGAAACCTCACAATGTTCATACTTATTTGTATTATCTTTTCATTACATCATATTTATTTATATTTCTTTTCTATACATTTGCTCGTTATTGTATCAGGATTGCTTTAAATTTGCTAAAAATTTCGAAAAAGTATAATTTACGAATTTCTGGTCATTACTTTGAATTAAAATAAACTTATTGAATATTTACTTCAACATCGTATTATACGCGATTTTATTGTAAAATAAAATATATAGTTTAGAACACTTTTCAGACAAAAGAAAAACTTAAAATAAATAAATTCGATATACACACTTGCATATTTTTAAATCTCCAAGTGAATGTTTAATATTTCGATGAATATTTAATTATAAAAGCCCTTTGAAAGTTGTTGAGAATTATCTTGAAAATATATGTCAAGGTTAAAATTATTGGGATTAAATTTCCTTTTCTAAAAACTTTATGATAATTCAAAGTCATATATCTCAACAAAGAGAAGAGACCGCCATCTGATTCAAAGTATAAATTACTCAGAACTTTGTCCTTTATACAATTATATATCAATAAAGTGATCTGTGAGATTTATCAACTTTTATTCATTTTTTCTTTGCAAAATTGTCGTTGGTATAGTTTATCACGCGTACCTTTAGCATAAATCTATTGTATAGAATTTTTCTCAATGACAAGTTAAAGTTTGTAAAATATTACTTATCAAGTTATGATACTACATTTATTTTTGAGACGTTAGTCTGAACACGGCTCTAGATTTTAAACGGCGCTTATTATCGTGATACTTTGATAAAATTATCATGCAGTGAGGACCGATTGCAAAGTAGAAATATGCGACATGCGACAACTCACTGTGATATAAGATTATAATAACACAGTTTGATAAAATCGCTAACAAATATACGCAATAATTTACCTCCGCAAAAAATGCATTATTCGAAAGTTTATCAAGCGTGAAGCATCATTACTGTTGTAACAATTTTTTTAATCGCAATTATGGAGAGTTCATGAATCTTCGAACACATGTTACGAAATCGTGTAACAAATGTATAATCGGCATCGAAAGAATCGAGAAAAAAACCTTCATCGGACGCATTTCGAAAATGATTGAAAAAAAGTATCTCGACTATCTCGACGCCAATTGTACCATAGAAGCTGCAATTAAATAATTTCCAAACTGATCACGTGGTTATCTTAGCTTAACAAGCCTCGTATCAGTCGAATTATTCAAAGCAATAATTTCTTTTCATTTTTTTTCTACTTCCAGATATCTTAGATAACCAATAAAAGTAATTAACATTAAGTCCAATGACCATTTGAAAAAGATTTAAAGAGTCTGCATGTGCGAAAAACCCTCATCACAGAGATTGTATGGATCTTCTCTTCCGCCGTTAAGGATAATACCTAATGAGATTACTTTGAAGGAGATAATCGTGAATAGGATTAGTCAATTACTTTTTATAGTGTCAGTCCGGAAACTTTTGATTGCAACCTTGCAAGTCGCGGTGAAACAGGAGTTAGTAATGAGCATGAAGAGCTATAAATGTTCGAATAATCCCGTGTTATTCGGATAAATCGAATAAACTTTAATACATGTAAAATTTCTGATAAAATATAATTAAATATCTTTAAGCAACTGAATATATATTAAATATCAGTTGTATTCTCTCTGTATTGTATTATTCAAATATGTACAGTTAGATTGGTCAGAAATATCACAAATATCTAGTAAATGTATAGATGATAATTTAATCACCTGAAAATGTGTGTGCATTCGAAATATTTGAATTATTCGACCATTTGTTTCATCTCTGAATTATAATTATTTGAACCTCTCAAAATTTAATTTGTGACACACACACACATTCAAATATTTGAATATTTAAATATATCGGCATTTTTCAAATCGGCTTTATATATGTAGCCCTATTACAAATAGTTTCCTTAAAATTACAACATTTTCTTATATGTATCTAATTTACAAATGTAATTTTTATCGCGTTAATTACAAGATATCTATCATATCTGATAAATGCCACGCTGTGTCCGAGACAATTCGAGAAATTGAACGCAAAAATTCTTTCAGCGGATTCATAACCTGTCTGAATTATTTCATAAACATCGGAAAATGAAGAATCCGTGACAAAGCGTGTGCGTACAAAACATGCTTCGCGATCGGAAATAACGATTAACAATCTACAGTGTGAAAAAGATATTATTTTTAGACGAAATGACAAATGTGGACAAATGTATATCTGCGTATATATTTAATAACAACAGTAAGAATGTAATATATATGTACAGACGGAGCGGATAAATTCACACACGTTTGATCCTTACATGTTTATACTATTTGTGTATCATATTCATTGCTCATGCACTCGCATATTTTCGCCGTTCATTACACACACATATATAAAGTGACATCTCTAAGAGATTATGCCATCGACATAATTAGTCGATATCATTTCGATGAGTTCAGTTGCCGATGTTATCGAAAAATGCACGTCAGTATAAATGTAGAGAGATCATTTCCGCTCGTGTGTCTGGCAAAATTGAATTGGGCGAAATATTATACCAATTTCAAGCCCCAAGATTGTTCCGACGCCTCTCTCTTTCTCTCGAGTTCTTTCAATCAGTTATCGCTTCTGATTGCATTTTACTGGCCGCGTCTCCCGTGTGTCTCTCGTTCTATTTTATTATCGTCATTACAGACCTAATCGCGCCACCGCCCGACTTAATGGCGACGTCACGCCACTAAGGTGGATATGAATTTAACCAACGCCTCGAGACCACCGTGTAATAAATACATGCGAACGTGTTACACCTACGATTCACCCCTCATTTCTTATATAAAAACCTTACGAAAATAATTGCTCTATCGTAAAACCCGGCGATTCGCACTTATCAATGTACAACTATGAATGATTTAGAGTATCCCTTCCCGAAAACAGCAACCCGTAGAGAAGTCGATCGTCGTGAAATCTTAAAATGTATAACGAGCAGATACCTGCGATATTGCTCGCATTAAACCGCGCAAAAGTGTGATTCTTCGACGGATGATTCTTTGCGCGACAAAATAACAAGCTATGACAAGCGTCGCGTAGCTTCAGAGAATCGCTCTCGTGGGGACAAATCACGCTTGTGCAAACGCAAGAAATCATACGAGAGAAGGTATCATCGATTAATCCATTCTACAAATCGAATCGCCCAACGATCAATTATAATATTAATATTTTTCGAATAAAAGTGCAAGAAGCGTCTAAAAAAAGAAAGCGATGAAAAAACACTAAAGTAAGACGCCTTGGTGATGTCTGACACATTCGCGTGAATCTCTTCTATTATATTTCGCGTAAGCCGTAAATATCTAAACGTCCGATAAACGACAAAAGTACCAACTCGATTAACGTCTCTCGGTAAGAAAATATATATATGTAGGTAATCCTAAGGTATATATAATTTTAAGTACATACAGTAGTAAATTGCTGATCTACATGTGGAGGTAGTGTTTACAAAGAGTCGATTAACCCATTTTTTTCCTGTCCAAATAAATTCCTTCTCCATTCTGTCATATTTATAGAATGCAGGATCGGAGAAAGAAGGATGTATCAATGTAACAATGTGACTCTTATGAAGAATCACGCCTTTCCACCAGAAAGGGCCGGCAAGAATATAAACAAATTACCCTTCGTGAAGTTGTACATGAATTAACCCGCATGAATCGAACGAGATATATCTTACACGACCTCGCGCGATCCGTTCGTCTCTTAATCCGCAATCGAAAATCCGCTCCAAGATCGATCGCCTCGCGAGCCGATGGAGCGAAATCAATTCTTACGCTACGTCGCACTCGCCGTCCGCGTCGACTTCTCTGCTCGATCGAGCGCACCGCGTAAAGTGCCTCCGCACGCCTCCACTTCCGCCCCTTTAATTACGCGGCTACTTCGCTGATGAGTGTCGCGCGCAGCGACTAATTGTCTATCAGAGCCGTCGAGAGACAACGAGTCGACTCGCGCGCATCCGCTCGCCCGCGAGTCATCATCCCGAGTCATCATCCCGCCACTCTGCCCTGTCGCGCTAATTACGCGCCCGACAGGCAAAGGAAGATGTATGCACCGCAATCGTAACAAACTCGCGCGCTTTAATTGGTGGATCTAACAAACTCCGTCTCTCCCTGTCCCATATTTTTCAAAATGGCGTACAAATGTCATCGACGTGTTGAAGAAATCGTGAGGTTCGTTGAAGCGTAATGTCGTCGTCGCGTCTTGGAATGATTCCGGAAAAAAGCTATAGACACACATCGTGTCGTATCTAAGCGAACAATTGCGCGGCGAACTTGTCTTAACGACTATTGTATTACACGTACACGCAGCGGCTACATTGTGACAAAATTCAAAAAAACAACGACGTCTTCCTCAAGGACAATGGCAACGACGACGAGTCGTCTCCGCCGCGAGAAACGCGCGTCTTCTTACAATCTTCATTTGAAATGTCTCGTAATCCCTCGATCATCCCTCCGTCGCTGACTTCCGGCCCGAAGTAACGATCGCGTCGATCACCCGAGTGACCCATAATTCTCGGACCGGCTGACTTTGGCCAGATTTCGGCTCCAACCGTGCGTGGACCGGAGATCCGTCAGATGGGAAAAGGCCACCAGGTCAAAAGATCCTCTCTTCTCTCTCCGGTTTATCCACCCACATCGAGAGCGGGTATCGTTAAATCTGCACAATAAAGCGAGACTACCTCAGGGCACCCTCGGCTCGCACGATAGCGATTACACGCCGGTGTGGTTGAATATATAGGAGACGTTGCTGTCCTGGTGGACCGGCGGCCCGTGCCAGGCGCGTCTAGTCGATGAATTGTTGTTGTTGTTGTTGACGTAATAGGAGGACTTTCTCATGCTCGTCGAGGAGGACATCATCGCGACGGTCTCGTAATACCTGAGCTTACCGCAGCACCGACCGCTCTTGAGGATGGCGATGAAGCCGCGCCGGTACTTCTTATTGAAAAAGGCGTATAGGATCGGATTGATGCAGGAATTGCTGGCGCCCAGCCACTGGGCGATCGGCGTGGCGATCGGCAGGATCTCGTCTTCTTCCTGTACGACGTCCAGCTTGATCACAGCGAAGATCACGTAGAGAGGCAGCCACGAGAGGACGAAGAGTATGACGACCACGACCAGCATCTTGACCACCTTCACCTTCGACTTTTGCTGTAACCTCTCCATTTGGGCGTCCTTGGTGTCGGTGGGGATATGCCTGCGCCATACCTTGATCCATATGAGAATGTAGCAGAGAGATATGAGAATCATCGGCAGCACGTAGCAGAGGAGCAGATTGCCGATCAGGAAGAAGAGCGAGCCGTCCTCGGGATGCGGCCACGTTTCCAGGCAGAGACGCAGATCGGGGTCGTCTTCGTAGATGGAGACCAGATCGAAGAACAGCAACCACGGTGACGTCATCGTCAGAGCGATGAACCAGATCACGACGATCATCATGCGGGCCCGTCGTTTCGTAATTTGGCATTTCAGCGGCCACCAAATCGCCAAAAACCTGGAAAACGTTCATCAAACAGCTTTGTAATAACTATCGATCTTTTTTCACATATAGATGAATTCTGCACATTTTTTCCTCTACTTTCTTATTTTCGCGTTTATTCAAATTGATCAAGTCAAAAAATTGGAGATAATTTTTGAAATTCTACATAATCTAAGCATTCAGCATAGAAAAATAATTCTAAACATGTATATTCGTTTGCTAAATAATTGTTGAAATTATTTAATAATAGCTTATGCGATAAAATCGAGGAGGAGTTGATATAACATTTCAATTTAATTTAAATTTGATTTAATTTTAATTGTTGAATCAAGTAATAGTTCGAATGATCGAATAACGTGTCGATACGGCACATGCTTGTCGCGATAAAATCTGAAAAATGGGGCTAAAAGTTTCAAGCGACAAAGTCGTTCCGCAGGTTTGATTGTTAGCAAGCTTCTTTGTCAGGTCGATAAATTTGTAGCACCGGAATATGGTCGCGGATTGTAGATAACCGTCTGATTTATCGTATCGCTTTGCGAAGAATGCAAAATGCGGCCGTTTTACGAGACAGGTTCGGGAGCAAACCCGCCAACTCGACGCCCGCACAGCCGTTACCATTTTTAGATTTCATATGGACATATGGACTTGCCGACAAATGTTCCATTCGCTCTTTCGAAAGACACTCGCGCCCGTCATGCTCCAACGAGCATGCGAGCCGTTTGAGAAAAGATATGCGCGGGAGAATATCTTTTATGTGACGCACGCGAGAGTTGTTTCCTGTTCGACAAACAAGTCAAATTACCTAGGAAAGGTGGGACGGAACGTATTCTTTTATCGATTTAACTCGATCACCTTGAATGAATAAATGAATTGCGCTTATTATTGTTGTAGGAAACAGTATTGAAGCATCCTCTATAAGGGAGGCTTCTTTAAGAGAGGCTAATAAAAATATGCGTGCGTATATTGTATATTAAAATTAAATTTTCAAATATTCAAATATATATATAATCAAAATTATATTATATTTGTTTTATCCTTTATATATATATATGATAGAAGAAACAAATGTAATATAACTTTTTTTAATTTAACGAGAGTTATGTATGAGAAAAAATTGACGACTTCCAAGTTATGGAACCGCCCACGTGCAAAGAATGGAAAGAATATTTTTTACAAGACATTCTTTCTCCTTTCCTCTTCACCTTTCAGGAAGAGCGATTATTCAGTAATTCCCGAATGAGCAAATGACGTTCACCCGTGTGTCTAACGGGATAAGAAGTCGCGGGATAGATGATCCTAGAACAATAGCATCGGACGGACCATCGATCACGTCCATGACGACGACGACGACGATAACGTCGCGTGAACAAGAGCAACTGCAGTGTTATTTTCGTTTTGAAATTCCTATTAACCGGAAGTGACGAGGCGCGTTTAAGTCCTCGACAAATTTCGCACGCGAAAAAATCATCGAGGACATTACGAGGAGAGAAGAAATGCGCTTTTCATAATTAAATGATTCCCGTTTTGGCGATATTTTCTTTACCGATAGCTTCCGTATAGAATTTTCGGCTTCATCGAGTCGCCATTTTTTCGGTCCTCGGCAAATTTCGCACGCGAAAAAATCATCGAGGATATTACGAGGAGAGAAGAAATGCGCTTTTCATAATTAAATGATTCCCGTTTTGGCGATATTTTCTTTACCGATAGCTTCCGTATAGAATTTTCGGCTGCATCAAGTCGCCATTTTTTCGGTCCTCGACGCAGATCTTTGCCAACGCTACGCGCGATTACGAGAGCGTACGCTTCTTCTCCTTATCCGCGTCTTATCGGCACCATCGGCGTCTCCGGCGACCTTCGTCGATTCGATGAATAAACTTTAAATACTTATGATAGGAAGACCTTCGCATAAATCAACGCCGGTACCGATACCGATCTACGAGCGTTTTCACAGAACGCGCGTCGTCACTTCCGGAATCGTGCGGCGGCACGTATACGCCGCGCTTATCGCGATAAAGGTGCATGTAACGCGACGAACCTTCCCCGCGAGTCTCTCGTGAACCGACGAAGAGCAAAGTTGGAAAAAATCCCAGCAATCTGCCTCGTTCAAGGTCGTCTATTGTCGCGCGAGGAGGGACGACAATAAGAGGTATTCGCGATGATGATCCGAGCATCTATATAAAGGGATCGATTCCCCGCAGTTGCAACTGTAGTGTCGTCCTGTGCGCTTGCCAACGAAAAAAAAAACTGATAAAACGCTTAACATGTTCAAACTGGCAAGTATATCCGTCTCATACCCTGTGTACGTGTATGTGTATTCGCGATTTAATTCCAAACCACGAGAATATTCACTTCCGTGACGTTAATTTTGAAGTATCGCGCGGGATGTTAGCGTGACACGTCGCGTAAAATTCTCATTCGGCATCTAGACGATATTGTTGTTACGATTTTTAATTTTTGATTTATAAAATTAGCTTTAAACAATATAAAAATCCGATAGGTTTGTACAAAAATTCCTGCCCAAATAAAACTATCCTTATCTTATCGCGAATTATAAATCGCCTGGAATGGGCTGAACAATTAAATGCATCCCACATTAGTGTTTGAGGACTGAAAAGTTGTTTGACTACTATTCAATTTTTCCAACAAACGCAACTAGAAAAGTTATGCACGATCGTGTAAGCAGAGCGCGTTCGCGTTATAAATTTGTCGAATTTTTCTCGAATCGCGAACGTTCGGGCACTTTGTTTCACGAAGCAGCCCAGAAGTTTTTTTCAAACGAACGTTATTGCAAGACTGTAAAAACGCTTGTGCCGAAAAAATGAAAATCGCGAAGCATTCGCGCGATAATTATTGAATTACCGCAAAAAGAAAAAAATCACAGATCGCCATCTCCACGATATTAAAAAGAAGGGGGAACGGAAAACGAAAAGAAAATGGACGCTCGTTCTTGGCACGTGCGATCGCCGCGGTGATTAATTAGAACGGAATGACATCGAGCTTGCGAGTCGCAAAAAGCGGGCCGATCAAAGTCGCCGTCGGAGTTTAAATGCGCCTCACTTGCTTGCTCAGGCACACTCCCGACATTTTTCATAACGCCCGTAAAAACGGCGGGAGAGGAGAAGAAGGGGAGAACGAGGAATAAAGTCTCGGGGTTCGAGAGAAGAAAGGGTCGCCTGATTTCGCGACTGTTTTTTTCAAGTGCAATTATTCTTCGCAGATTTTAGCGATCGCGATGGTGATGGCGGTCACGTGGTGTGCACCAACCCCGAAGCCGTCTCTGTCACCGGTGCTGGCTTATCCTCTGGTCTACCCGACAACCTACGCAAGAGTCTATCCGTATTATGCGGTTCCTCTGACGTATTACAACAGCTACAACAGTTACAGATGGTTCTATCCGGGTTCGTTCTACGCCTACTGATATCGATCCATCAGGATCAACGTCAATATATCGGCGCGCGATGCTCGACGTTCTGTATGTCCTATAACGTGACGCGCCAAATGATTCTACGTGAAATGTTTCTCGAATAAAGTACGTTTTTGTCGCAAACGCCGCAGTATGCTTGTTGACTCTATAAAGATTTCCCCTCCTCTCAGACGCCGCTCTTGCCAGCGTCTCCTGCATCCGGTTAATTCTCTCGGTCTAAGGGAGGAAGCTCTTATCCGAGCTTGGCAGACTAAGCGCTATCGAAAGCGCTATCAATTTTGTTGTCCATTCGTTTCGGCGATATTTATTGTATACCGCATAATCGCACCGTTTTTCATGGGCAAATAATATCCATAGTTTTATCCGTCAGAGCGATACTCATTAACGCGGTATTTTATCGGGATGAAGGTATATGCTATGACATGATGAACAATATTGTATATGAATAATGTAAAGTAAATACGTGCGAATGAAAACGTGAAGTAACACTGTTGCGTTCACAGGAAGTAAATACGCGAAATTTATTGCTCATCATTTTTTAATCTTGATGAGCATCAGTTTTGTAATTTAATTAATTCAAAGTCATATGCGCGAGAAATAAATAAATAAGAACGAAATACAGGGCAAGTAAACCATGTATTATAGAATAAAAGTTTATAAATAATTTTACACAAAGTCGCAAGGTATATTAAAAATTATCGAATAAATAAATTAACGACTCATCCATAATTAAAAATTGGCGAGTATCGAATACATTTAATAATTGTCACAATATTATTAACATGTAATTTTATAATTAGAATTTATTATATATTGTTGCATTTATCCAAAAAAATTAATTAAAATTAGAATTTAATTTCAATTAGAATTTATTATATTGCTTCATTTATCTGTTTATCCAAAAGTATCGAGTATATATTGTCTCATTTCAGTCTATACATACGAAATGATTTTAACAAAATTAGTTTCTATTTAAGATAAAACTTTGTTATAGTAAACATAAATCTTGACGAAAATTTCGGAAAATTTATTTTTCCGTCGCGCAAGATATTGTGCATAAGGTATTAGCGTTTTAATGCATGCCATCGTATATAATGCACACTGTTCTGATAAAGGATATTACGGCGACAAAGCGTAACTGTGTGTATCAAGTAACTCTATTATTATTATGCCTTTAAATTTATTCTAGAGACGAGATTAAGGTGATAATCGTATTTCGCGCGATACAATCACGCAATGTAACTATTGCTAGTTTACGGTATAAGAGAAAAAGTGCATTTTATGCGTCGTCACTAGGAAGATGCAATCTTCAATATTCTCTAGCGTGAATGGAGAATTCATGTCTCGTACAAGTACACGCAATTCCATTCTGTAGGTAGTTTTTGTCGAGAAAGAACTTTTCTTTCGATAGATACAAACGATTTATTTTCCAAAGAATTCTAAAGAAAACATGAGTAAAAATAAGAAAGTATGAAACGCGTCGAGTAGGAGCTCCTCTTGAATGACATGTATTGATGCAGCTTCTCGTTGAAATTTATCATTATTTCAGGCAAAATACGCCATACGAATAATTAAGTCGATCCACTTTACGTAGTTTTTGTCTGTTGATTCCAATAGATGCGTCAATTTTTGCGAATTATTGAATATTTAGCAGTTTTTTCTTCCTCGTTTCGCATCTACATCTCGTCAGAAATGCAAAATCCAATGCAATAAAAATGCAAAAGTTAGTGGCGATCTTTTATAAGGTGAATGTTTTTAAAGTCAAGTAAAAATATTTGAAGAAAGAGAGTGGGCAAAGACATCCGTAAAAATCGTAAAATCGAACTGTCCGGTAATTTCGATGCATGTACATGCGATATACGCATACATGGACGCGTGCGCACGTGTATGTGCATGTGTATGTGTGCGCAGGATGATGCCGTCGGTATGTCTATAATATCCCTCTTTATTGGAAGGATAAAAAAAAGTACGTTTATGCGCACTCCGGTTTATTGCGCCCTTAGCGATATATCCGCGTTCAATAAAGCCGCTCTGCTATACTCAGAATGAAGATAAATTGTAAGGTTGATAGATGTGCGGAATGTGGCAAATGGAAAGCGTAGAAATCTGCTGAAAAAATCAGCCGGAAGAGGGAGAAGGGATATTGCCTCGGAGAAAAATGTAATCAAGATTCTCGCTGGAGTTTGTAATTAAAATTTTATTAAAATTTCATATGAAAACACGAGGGCAGGGTTCGGGGATGATGGCGGAATGATCGAGGCGAAAGTCCGGAAATTTAGGTCGATGAAGACAAAGAAAAGACGAATGTGGGAGAAAGAAAAATTGGTCGATCTTGATTGTTAGTCCCGATGGAGTCACCGCGCGCTCGATCCTAGGCCTGATGATAACTCGCGCAACGGCGAGTGAAAAAGTGGGGAGTCGAAGTCGGCGGGGGGCGTGAAATTTTGGTTGTTGCTTTCTGTCTTTCTTCGAGCTGCGGTCTTTCCTTTCGCATCACGAGGACAATTTCGGTCGAGGAAGGGGGGATGTGTGTGTCGCTTCTTTTTTTGTCTTTTTTTTTTTCTTCCAGGGCTGTGTCATCGTGAGACGGTGGTGGTGGTGAGTTTATGCTGGCTCTCCTAGTCTAACCGTGATAGCCGCCATAGCCGTAGCTGTAGGCCGGGACGGCATGGGCGGCCACGACGGTCTTGGTGACAACAGGAGCGACGTGTACGGCAGGAGCGACCGGCTGGGCAACTACATGAACAGGTGCAACTGCAACCGGGGCCGCGTGCGAGACGACCGCAGGGGCGACGATCGGGCCGGTGCCATGGCTGACGGCAACGCCGGTCAAGCCACCGGGATAAGCGAAGGCGACAGCCAAGATGGCAGCGAAGACAGCCTATGAAGAAGATTATCAAATGGATTTATAAAAGTGTCTCTCTCCTTTAGCGCTACGAATCTGTCAGTGATTCACTCTCCCGTCGAATTTATCCCCATCGAAAGCTGGCCGAGAGATTGTTGTATCGAGAGATCGCGATTGAAAATTATTATTTCTGCAAAAATCATAAGCGAATGTTCGAGCGGGTCTCTCGGGATTAATTTTATAGTCGGTCGGCGAATTATATCGAGGCATGCGAGAGATTGAACAATTACTTACGTTTCGATCGATCGTTAAAAGCGGAGCTTGAGAACAGTTTCGCAAGAGAGCGCGGGGTCGATCGCGCTAAAAAAAAAAATACGGCGCGCGAGCTGCATTCCATACGGATTTAACAATGTGCATGCTTGAATGATTTCACTCGCGCAGATTTTTCGCTGGAAAGAGAAGTTGGGTTCCGTTGCCGCGGCGAGACCGGTGAGCGGCGTAAGGGCGGGTTTGTGTCGCGCTCATAGCGGAAAGGTCACGGTAAAAGCATCAAAGAGGGGAGAGAGGCCGAGAAGAACCTTTTTTCTTTCCACGATACGTGTATATGCAGCGCGAGATAGCCGTCTCTATCATAGAGAAAACGCGGGAGCGACGACGAAAGAGTTGCCGTGACGTGGAGGATCTCTTTACTGGAGTTCTATAGATGCGTCGAATGAAAAAGACTCCCGACGAAAAGAAAATCCCACGTACATCAAAAATAAGAAGACGCGAAACGTAAATCGCATCTTCTCATCGCGTATTATCTCCAATGATTTTTAGAGCGATTGAGATTGACGGACCGATCAAACGCGATCGCGAGGCGTCTCTGCAAAAACAATCGGCGGAAATACGCTCGGAAATTGACGTTTCATAGGTCAGTCGATACTTCTATTAGACGCGATGCGTATATTTTGCATAGCATTTACGATCTCATCGATAGTCAATCGTACAGCCATCAGCGATGGAAGAAGCGAAATCGGAGCATTTTGTAATTGTAATCGAAAAGAAAATTGCGAAGAGAAAGAGAGAGAAATATCGGTAGAAATTGTAATTTAGATGAATCGTGTTGGCTTACCAGCTTAAACATGTTGATTGGTTGTGGATTGCGTATTACTTCTTGAAAGTAAGTGAGCTTATGCTTGTTTCGACGACTCGGCAGTCTTATATACCGCTCGTGATTTTTTTAAAATCATCATAAACTTGGTCACGTGACCCGCGGTATCGAGTATGACGATATGTACGATATCAATTGAGTCAGCCGGTTACCGAACGTGGTGGAGGTATTCGCTCGACCAATCGACTATCGCGATACCAATCCCAACGTTCCACCGTTCGCCAATAATGCGCTTTCAACCCCTTCAGGCATCCATCTTGTAAGAATTAGATTAAGACAATCCAATGATGTAGGACATTGTAGAAATGATATCCGACGCACACCAACACGTAAAGGCACTCGCCACGCGAATATCGCGCAAGATCGCGTGCGTGGGATAAGTGTATGTCTTGTGGAAGAAAAATTGCGGCTGGTGTTCGCCACTGAATTTCATAAAGATGCAACCGAGATCTAAATCCATGACTCCGTCCTTCTTCAAGCATCGCACATTTGTTTGCGAGAGCGCGTCTTATTTGTATTCTAAAAATATAGTTTGATAGTAAATTCTTTTCTTTGCATTCAGATACTCGACATTTTAAAGTAGAGCAAAAAATTTATTTGTATAATTTAATTATTTTGATAATTGATTAAATGATACAATTTTACGTATTTTAATTTAAAGAATTACACACACACACATATGAATATATAGCAATTTAAATCATACTTTTTTTTATTATGGAAATACATCAGCTATCATGGCTCATGTATCAAGATAACTTTATATTAATTATATAAAATATTTGATGTTTTTTCCTTTTTAAATAATCATGCATATCGAATCCTTGATAATAATAGTAAATATTAAATATTGATAAAGTAAATATTAAAAATAAAAATAAAAGTATAAAATTTAAATTGATACGTTTTATTCGTAACTCGAAATATTCATTTTAAGCTCTTAACGCTAATATTTTATTACAATATTTGATTTTTAAAAATTTTCAAGGGTACGTAAATTTATATATGTTATTCCAATTATATAAATGTGGAATTGAATAAATATAGAGATTATTCCACGCTCGCGTAACGAATCGAAATTCGAAATGACCGAAATCGCGCTAGTTTTGATTAAGTTTCGCAACCTCGAATTCATCATCCTTTGCAATCTGAATTATTTATTTCTTCGAGCTCGTTGGAAGTTGGACACGGTGATCGGGACAATCACGGAGATTAGAACAGTTCCTGTCATTCGGCGTCAAGAGCGAGCGTCTGAAATTAGTGAGAGGAGCAATTTAATCCGCCCGACAGAGCTCGGGTGGTGCTCTTTCGGAGAGCGAATCAAACTTTTATCAATGAGAAATGTTACATAATTAATCGTGTCACGTTTCCCCCTTTTCGTGTCCGCTAAATTGGCGCCGGTTAGATAATGTCTCGGTGCGATATTGCGACTTGGATTACGAATTACGTTCGAGAAATGCCTGACAAGTATATATCTATAATATAATATATCGGGCATATCGCGTATCAACGTTTCATCCGAGTCTTTTGAGCGGATATACGTAAGGTACGATATGTAGGCGACATCAAATGCACAACTTTATCTATTAAGCATCGGCCGTCAATGTTCTAGGTAAATCACCAAGCGAACCATCATCCTCTTCGATCCTGCATTGGTTCTGATAGCGCAGTTAATTATCTGTTGCAAGAGAAGCCTGTGCGCGCATGTGGTTGTGCAAATGCGATATTCCATAACACATATACACATATATATCCCGTATCATAACGAAGACGAAATCCAGCCAAATTTTCAGCAGAACCTTGCTTTCATCTCGTTCAAAATTGTACTAGTGAAAATAACGCTCGCGAATGAGACACACTTCTTCGCTCGTGGAATTTATCTCGTCAAATAAAACACACACCTAATTTGGGATAGTTTGCGACATGTGTGAATTTAATGCGAAATTCCATTCACGCATGTTCCTTCAATTTCAGGAGATTCGAGCCCCGGTTCTTCGTCCTGTCGTCCTTTTCCGTCGCGAAACGAGCACCATATGGGACAGGAAGAAGATATATTTTCGGTCTGGGACTCCTGGCTGCGTCGTCCGCCAAGAGTGACGAGAGGAAGAGAAGATGCATTCGCGCACATGGTTGGGCGGGAAGACAATTCCACAAGTTCGGCACGATTCCTTTCCCCGAGCAATTCCCGGAAGATCGATCGTTCCCGAAGATCCTATAAAACTATTCCTAGGGGTTTGCGCGATGGAGGAGCCTCTCGTTCCTCCTCCAGTCTTGTAACGTGAAATTGATATCACGAGTCGCGTTTGCTAAAATTCAGAGTGTCCTCATAAGTTTCGCTTCTTTAAGCTTTCTCATCCAATTTGTTACATTTTCAATCGGCAATAATAATTTTGTATTGTTGTACATCATCGGAACTTTTAAGTCTGGGCTTCTGGGAGCCTTCTCAAAAGCTTCTCGTGCCCATTCAGTCGAGCAGGTGCATCTTTATAGCGCGTTATGCGATAGCAATAATTTGCACCGTGAATAAAATACGAGATCTACATTTCATTTTCCGTAAGAGCAGAATCTCACGGCTATGAAGCCGCGAGCGTATTAAAGTCGATTTATACGCAAATACGCGTGATTTATGAAATTAGTATAAAGATAAAATTATCCGTTATTAAGACTTAATAAAGTGTCTCTAATAACGACGTGCCAATAACACGGTATATATTACAATGTATCGTGCGAGATACACACTGAGACGTATTGTTGACTTTATTAACACTATATTATGCCGACAACGTACGTTACATTGCCGTTTATAATTATCGATAATTATGATAGTATCACGTTGTATTGCTGATGAGAAAATAATTGTGTCACGGTGATGAGATCATGCGTTGCGAGGTGACTGTCGCAAGAAAATATTAGATTTCATCAGACATAAACATCTAATTTGTATATAATTTTAATGAAATTTGTCGAAAATATTTCAATAATAAAATGACAGAAAAATTTTCCGCGTGGGTAATTGTGTATAATTGCCCAGATTTAATTTATAACTCTCGCTTCATTTATAACAGGTTCGCTCCTGAAAATTTTTCTGGAAAATTGATTGTATAATTAATTCATTCCAATGATATAATAGCCTCGAATGCAGTGTATAGGCACAACCACTCTCATCTATTAAAGCTTAAGGCAATCTTAGTCGCCTTCAATGTGTCACGGTATTTCAGAAAGATTGTTGTAAACAGCACCGCCTCCAAATTTGCATATCGCATAAAAAATAAAGAAAAGAGATACAACTTAAACTATGGAGGTCAACGTTATATGAGATACTCGCTTTCCCGCGTGTGTCTCACGGCGCGGCTGTAAAAGGCGGGAGGAATAACACGTACCTGTCTAAGGAAACCGCGACTAGGCTGTATACGGAGGCTGCCACAGAAACTCCCTGTATATAAGCGACTGCCTTGCACATAAACCATCCCAGGATCCATGCTGAAACAGAGAAGTTTATAATTTATCGTTTCGAGTATCTCAAACTCACGGTAGTCTCGCCGTGAAGGGCTTTTTAGCCCGGGCAACTTACGAGGGTCGAAATTCACTAGTAGGCAAAAAAACCAATGCAAAGTGTACAAAGAGCACTTGACGAAGATACCAATTATACCGCATTACAAACAAAGCAAAAATGCAGAAAGTTATGCGAAACATAAATTTACTTGAGCGTAGCGTAAAATTATTAACGTAAATAATTTTTTTTTAGGGAAACTGTGTGTACTAAAATCAATTTATTATTTTCACATAAACTAATTAATAAGCCATTTAAAACAATATTTTTGCGACAAGCGTCTCTTCAGATATTCTAAATTAGATTGATTTATTGGCCAAATATAAATAATAAAGTAAATAAAACATTATATCATTTAGCGATACGTATGAAGATAATTAGTATTTGTCGGATTCGCATTGTTTAAATTTATCTTTATTCTAATAATAAAATTTCTTTATTTAAGATATACATAAACTATATAAAAATATATATACATAAATATAACAAAATATATAAAATATAAAAAATATAGAAATATACACATGTATGTTTATTTATAATATATATTTTATGTTATAGTATAAAATATAAATAATAAAACTGCTACATTTTATATTATGATATAAATAAATTAATATTACATTATAAACATACATGTTACATATATTTTCCCAAAACGGAATAATATCTAAAAATGATAAGTTTGAGCGAATGCACTTGTTGTTGCAATTTGTTCTTAATAAAAAAAAATGTGTCAATTTTACTACACAACTTTTCCCTTCGATCTACTACATGTATTTTTAAAAGAAAAGTAATTACTGCGAAAAAGCTCAAAGATAAGAAAGACTCGAAACAATTTTTCCAACTAGAATCATCGGTCATTGTCCGCGATTGATGTCACGGTAAATAATTAAAAGCGTTTAATAGCGTAATAATAGGTAATGGAAAGTTTATCACGTTCTCAGAATAATATGTATTCAAGATTGTGTGGGAACGAGCGGAGAGGGAAATCCCTGTCGAAGGAAAGGTCGCTCGTGCAAGCATCGAGCGATGCCTACCGTGCAATATCATCGGGGTACAAACTGCGCGAAAAGGGGGTGTACATTTTATCTTTCATCAGACCCTAGTCCGTAAATTTCGCCAGTTGGCGGCGCCAGAGAATTTTCGCGAAAAGGTATTGCCGTTTTTCCAAGTTCCGAAAGAATCATACTATAAATTCTACGGAATAAAGAAGGAAACGGGATTCGCGACTCGAAACTGCAGACCGAGACTGTAAGAATGAATAGCACAAGGTGTAGCGGTAAAGTATCAAGATGGGTGTTCCCGGTGTTTCGAAAGCTCCCTGTTTATTGAATTCGATCGCTTTTTTTAATCGGACAACGACGACATCGACACGGTGGTTTGCTGATCGAATCAGGTTCGGTCCGCGTGTTATTCGACACCGTATAGTATAAGTATTGTGTGTACGGAGAGTGAATGGTGCACGCAACGAGGTCGCATAGAAAGGAACCTCCCGTGTGCTATTGCAAGCCGATAATTACTTGTTCCATCGAATACATAATTCTTCGATATCGATAAAGCGAGTCACCGGCTCGAGTGCATTAATACATCCACTTACAAGCTGCGAACTCGAAACTCGCTTTGAAATAAGGGTTCTATGCACATTAATGTGTATTCGCAAGAAAAGGCGATCACTTTTGCAAATTAAACTTCGGAAATATAAATAATAAAATAATAATGTGTATTTACTTATTATTTATTTTTACTTTTTTATCATTGTATCAGATCAGACAGACAGTTTAATACAATTTTAATTTAAAGTTTAAATGTTGAAGTATTTGTATACAAAGTATTAATATTGACAGTTTTCAGCTAAAAAATTTTCAACTAGACGAAAATAAATTTTCGCAAACACATGTTAAAATAAATTTTTTTCTACATATCCATATAATGACGATTCTGCATTTTATTGCATAAAAGTAATTAATTCTCGGGCAAGAGGAGCATTTTTTCACACGTAACATTAAATCAAATATATTATGAATTCCAGAGATTTTTTAAGTGCATGCATGAAAATTTAAATAAAATTATCTCTCGTCTATGCAAGGTGTTTCTGAATTGAGCTAATTTAAAATATAAATTTATTATTAGCTTTATTCAAAATAAGAATAAGAAACTCCCTCTTGAGATATGTTCCCAAACATCGTGTTTGAAAGACATTACACGTCTTCTAATTTATCTTTGTAACACCATACATGTTAATTTCACAAAAAACCGCACAAAAATCTGAAAAATATCTTAAATAAATTTCTCGATTCCTTCAATGCTTCTGTAAACTAAATATAATTTTACACACTTTATATTCTAATAATAAACCCACTAATATAAATATGCGGACATAATATTCGTGTACAGTTTTTATAATAAAAATGCTAATGCTGCCCTGCTTAATTCTTTATGAAGAGGAGTTAATATTTTTCAATTCACACACAAGCATGTGTAACAATTACAGCTGTACGCCACTGACATATAAGAGAAAGATTGTCAAGCTTGTTTTTGTATTCAAGGCTTTGAATAAAATTTATAATCATTTTAAAATTTTCAAGTAATAAAGTAGTAGAAATACATAATTATTTTATTTATTGCAACTTGATAATAATTTTATAAAATTTTACACTCAAAATGTTTGGGGTTGCACAGACATATCTTTAGAGAACCTTTCTAATTTATTTTGAATTTCTAAATTCATACTTTGATCTTGAAAAGTATATTCTGTACATGTATAATTTCGTAAAGAATGAAAACAAGGTTGTAAAGAGGAAATTAAGAGACTTTGAAAAGTTTTGAAATTCAATTTATCAATTCAATCTTCGGCTTCAAGGCTCGCACAGAAAATTCGCTTTCATCGAATGTTGGTTCGATTTGCGCGATATTCTCGGCCCGGTTATAACTTTTATGGTTACACAATGAACGAGGACCTTCAAAATGACGTCAAAATTCACCGTCAAAAATATCGCGGTCATTGTCGCGCTAATAGAGACTCGTGTCACGGCTGACGGAAGTTGGATCACGGTAGAAACGGGAGAAACTTTGACGGAGGTCCTCTCGGAAGTCCTCTTACACACGGACGTCCCGTCTCTCCCGACGTGACATTCGAAAAGTTTTTCACTGAATAATGCGCGGACGTTTACGTGACTAGTGTACCGGGGGATACAAGTTTCCGGAACGAGAGTGGTCCGTGATTTCGAGATAAACGCGAAGGCGCGCGAGCTGGTTGGAGTTAAATCAACTCTTTGTCTTTGTTTCTTCTCGGGTCCAAAACTTGGTACTTCTTTATTATCGGGGGAAGATTGCGCGTGCCGGGACGAAAAGTGGATGTATCCGGAATGGAGGACATCGGGGTTCATATCAGGGTCGTCGATGCGCTCCAGCGTACAAGTAACTTGCAACAAAATGGAAAAGAGAGGTAGCCTCGCGCTACATATAACCATTTTATTAACCGTTTGCAGGTATGTAATTACATAATCGTCCCGCGCGCATGGTATTAGTATTTTCCTTTCTGTTCCATGGCAAGAGAGAGAGAGAGAGAGAGAGAGAGAGAGAGAGGGAGAGAGAGAGAGAGAGAGAGAGAGAGAGAGAGAGAGAGAGAAGTATCGATTGCGCCACTTTACAAAGGCTAATGCAAGTGGAGAACCAGTTTCATAACGCAACATGTAATAACGATTGATAATGTTGATAAACACACAGGCAACTTCGCGAAAAACGCGCACGTGTTATTTTTTCTTTTTTCTTTTTTTTTATTTCTCCGACATCGAGCAGATTTTCTCTCAACAGACAAGGCCACCGATAAGATTTTAACTAATGTTGGGTGACTACTTTATGAACATTTTTTTTTGACAATGCAAATTTATACTCTCATTGAGGTCCAACTCTAACAAATGTGAAATGTCGTGTATTACATAGGTGCAAATTAAACGGTTCATTATTAATATTTTTCCCTTCCCACATTCATTTATATCGATAATGATAATATATAATTTTCTATTTTAAATTGCCATTTAAATTTTATAGTTATTTGTAGTTGATTATACCATATTAATTATATCAAATCATATTAAATTATATTGAAAACTGAGACGATAATTAAAAAGAACAGATTGAACAAAAGAACAGATACTTGATTTATTTTTAGATTTACATTCTTTTTGTATGCCACATATTTGAGCCATTTCCCTGTTTTTTTGCAGACTTGTGCATCATGTTTATTTATCAAATATATATTATTAATACAAATAATTTACTGTTTCGAAAAACTGTTTTCACACAATAAAAAAATTGTGTATGTGTTCAGAAAAGTGATATATTTTAAATAAATAGAAAACAAAATATATGGAATTGTCGCTGAAATAAAGACAATTCACTTTATGAAGGTTTTTTGTAATTTTACAATTTCTATCAAAATAGTTTATCAAATTTATAATTCTATAATAATGAGAATATTATTATAAAACCGCTAATTGTATAATTTTATAAAAATTATAATTTTAAATAAAACTCGCATGAATTTTTCTTGCATGATCTATATATCCTCCTCGGCCTTTCAAAGCTCAAAAAGCTCTTTTTGTAATTATCATTTCACTGGAAGTCTATCGCGCAGGGAATCAAAAAAAAACAACCATGTTTAAATGTAACTGTCTCTCGATAGAAGTTGGAGTTAATCTTGAAAATGTGCACTGTGCATTAATGATACTTTTTCCTTGGCGGCCTTGATTCGGCGCAAAAGAAATAGAAAAACGTCGCTCTTGATCGTCCAAACCCAGGTCGAATCGGTTATTAGTGGCGTAAATTACCGCCCAGTCACGTCTGATTTAAAAATGTCAAATTTTTACTTTACGCGAGTGCCTACATATACATATGAGCGCAATGCACATACAATGTCTCTCTGCAT